ATATTTATTGGGAGTCTGGAAGCTGAAGTGATGGCTCAGTGATTAACAACAGTGATGCTTTTTCAGAGAATTGGACTTAGGTTCCCATCACCTGCTTTGGGCAGTTCATAATCTTCTGTAACTCCAGCTCCAGAGGATACGATACCCTCTTCTGGCTTCTGCAGGCATACACACACACACACACACACACACACACAAAACTAAATTTCTTTAAATTAAAGAATCAGATGAGGCCATGAGCATGTCTTTAGTATTTTTCATACTTTTCAGTTGCTGTTAAAGTACAGTCTTAGCTGGATGCTGGTGGTGCTTGCCTTTAATCCCAGCACTCAGGAGGCAGAGGCAGGTGGATCTCTATGAGTTCCAGGCCAGCCTGGTCTACAGAGAGAGTTCCAGGACAGCCACCAAAAAATACAGAGAAACCCTGTCTCAAAAAACAAAAAGTATAGTCTTAATCCAAAGGAATGATTTTCTATTATGGACATGTGTTTAATTTGGGAGCATTTATAAAGCCCTTCTGGAAATGGACAGTTTGACACTTCATAAGTGACATGGTGATACATACCTATAATTCATTCACAGGCTAAAATAAGAGGATACCAAGTTCAAGGCCAGCCTAGACTACATAGCAGAACCCTGTCTCTAAGGAAAGCACTAAGAGGGAATGGAGTGAAGACTACTCAAGGCTGTGTAGCCTCACTTCCTTTCTTTACCCTTCATGTGTTCTTAGTTACTGTCAGTCCCTGCCTAAGGTGCCCATTCCATTAACTAAGCCTTCCTTTGTACTGAGGATTTAAGGAAATACTAAATTTGCCTTTAGAAACCTCTGGGATTGAGAAGATTGTTAGTGTTTTCAGAAGTTAAACTTTCACCCAGGTTGAATGTTCTTTGTAGTTTACTCTTGGTAATAACTTGTACTTTAGCCTCAGTAAATCTTAGTTGCCAAGTAACTTTATTTATTTGTGCTTAGTATCAAATCTAGAATATTATGCATCAATTTTGGATTTATTTATTTAAATTCCCAATTTACAGTGGAGGTGAGTTTAAGTGTATGATTCTCACATATAGATTTTATCCTGAAGGATTTTAGATTTAAAAAATTTTTTGCCTTTTACTTTTGTTCTTGCATTCCTTTTTTAAATATTTGTTTTTATTTAGAAACAATCATTTTACATATCAATCCCTGTTCCCTCTCCTTCCCATTCTCCCATGACCCCTACCAGCCCCTCTAACCTACCCCCACCCACTCCCAAAGGATAGTGAGGCCTTCTATGGGGGATCATCAAAGTCTGTCACATCATTTGGGGGAGAGCCTAGGCCCTTCTCTGTGTTTTTTGTTTTTTGAGACATGGTTCTCAATGTAGCTCTGGCTATCCTCCTGCCTCTGCCTCCGGAGTACTGGGGTTCCCCCGTAACAGAGACCTTCAAGAAATGGAAGCTATTGGATCCTAGACCAGTAGTGGTTACTGTCTCTATCACTGAGCTTTGATAGTTGAGGAGTTGTGGGGGAGTTGCATATTCAAATCACAGTGTCCTTTAATGAAATTGTAAAGAAATAGTTTGAAGAAGTTGAAAGCATTAGTGACTTTCAAAACTGTAGAAAATTCTAAAATATTAATGCAGATGCAAAAAGTATATGACTCTATCCTGTATAAAAAAAAGGTGGTTTACTGATATAGTTCTCTCATCATTTTTTCTGTAGGTTCAAAACATCCCTCTTCAACTTTTGTTTAACAGATGATGTGATGAGAATTTGCCTCAGTGGCAGAATGTGTGATTAGTATGGTCGGGCTCCAGGTTTTATCTCCAGGGAAAAGTGTGTGTGTGTGTGTGTGTGTGTGTGTGTGTGTGTGTGTGTGTGTGTGTGTAATGGAATGTTGAAGTCAAATATACTCATGTTCAAATTGCAGTTTCTTTATTACCAGTGTCACTTTTTAGAAATTACTTAACCTGACAAGGAGGTAGTGGTACACCTAGCTCTCCTCAGAGAACTTAGAGGTCTTAGACTTTGATCTTACTCAGAGTGAGTTCCAGGATTGGAGGTGAGGTGGGGGGGGCTACACAGAGAAACACTGTCTCAAAATAAAAAAGTCTGAATGTGAAGCCTGAAGAGGGTGTCAGATCCCCTGGGACTAGAGTTGAAGGTTGTGAGCTGCCAGATGCATGCTGGGAATTGAACCAGGATTCTCTGAAAAGCAGTCTGTACTCTTAACTGCTAAGCCATCTCCCCAGTGCCTGACTTTTTTCCCCTCCTTTTCTTGAGACAGGGTTTCTTTGTAGCTTTGGAGCCGGTTGGCCAGGCTGGTCTCAAACTCACAAAATTCACCTGCCCCTGCCTCCCAAGTGCTGGGATTAAAGGCGTGCACCACCACCTGGACCAGTGCCTGGCTTTTAATTGAAACACCAAGTTTAGTTTGAATTAGCTGATGGTATACTTCATGCCAGCTAACTTGGCATTTTCCTTCTTGAAACAGAACTGTGGTCAGTGGGCCTCACTACCATTTTTATTTATAGTAAACAACAAAGTAATCAATGTAGATTGATGTTTTTACCATAGTTTTTGTAAACAACCTTTTTGTTTTTGTCAGTCACAAGTAACAACCTAGCTCTGACTATCCTAAGCAAAGAATGCTATCTGAAAGCTACAAGAGTATCTCCTCAAACTAGAGACATATTCAGGAAGGGAGCAAACCACAGCCGTCTCTGGGCATACAGCATACTGTGGACCCTCCTAACTGCTGTAGTGATACAAAGATGTCCTCTGATCATTGCATCCCTGAGCTCTTCTCGCTATGCCTGCCACAGGTGAAGAGGTGAACTTGGCAACACATAGACCCAGACCGAAGCACATGTGCTGCTGGAAAGCCTCTCCATTGCAGTAGTTGTTCATAAAATAGACATTTAAAGAGGGTTAGGTTTTTTGTTTTTGTTTTTGTTGTTGTTGTTGTTGTTGTTTTGAGACAGGGGCTCACTATATAATGCCAACTGTCCTGGAATTCACAGAAAGCCACTCCTTCTCCCTCTAAGTGTTGGATTAAAGGCATGTACTACCACACCAGCCTAATTTACTTAATTTAATGAATGAATAAATGAATGAATTGTTTATTTAGGTGCTGGGAATTAAGCAAGGGCCTTAACACATGCTAGCCAAGCTCTCTCTCTTCCTCTGAGTTGTAGTTCCATCCACTGATTTATAGAGCCTTTGCTTTGAGATAGGGTCTTACTTTGTAGCTCAGGCTGTCCTGGACCTCACTAGGTAGTCCAGCATGGCCCTGTACTCATAGCAATCGGCCAGGATGCCTGGATTGCAGATGTTAGCCACCATGTGAGCCAACTTATCTATAGAGCTCTATGATAGTATTGTATTATGTGAGTGACAAGAGAATTAAGGTTCTTTCTTTGTCTACAGCTTTGTGTTTGGAGTCTATAAGAAAAGAAGAGAGCCAGTAAGATGGCTCATGAGATATAGGTGCTTGCTGCCAAGCCTGAGTACCAAAATTTGGCCCTGGTAACCCACATGGTAAAAGGAGAGAACAGATTTATACAAGTTGTCCTCTTATTTTCACATGAATGCATATTCTCCTTGCCAAAGTAAATAAATACACATTTTTTAATAAGGGAGATGTGAGGTTGGGTATTTGGCCTTATGGTAGAGTACTTGCTTAACAAATGTGGGCCCTGAATTTTTGTTCCCAGCACTGAGTGTGGAGGGGAGAATGTAACATTGATTTTGCAGTTTTATCTAGTGTTATTATTGCTCTTGTTTTTGTTTGAGACAGAGTCTCACTATATAGCCCTGATGGCCTAGAACTTACTCTGTAGGCCTTAATCCATTTATCTCTGTCTCCCAAAATAAAGGCATGTGTAAACCCAACTGGAAAGAAAGATATATAGGTATAGATACATAAATATAGAGATAGATAGATATTCTCGTTTTATGTCAATGAATGTATTGCCTGCATATATATAATATATAATATATGTGTGTGTGTGTGTGTGTGTGTGTGTGTGTGTGTGTGTGGTGCCTGAAAGGGCCAGAAGAGGGCTCTGAGTCCCCTGAAACTGAAACTACAGATGTTTGTGAGCTGCCACGTTGAAGTTGGTAGTCGAACCTGGTCCTCTGCAAGAATAGCAAGAGCTGCAAGTGTTATCTGCTGACCCATCCCTCTAGCTCTGTTTTCTTGTTTGCTTGTTTGGTTTTTTTGAGACAGGATTTCTCTTTGTAGCCTTGGCTGTCCTGGAATTCTCTCTGTAGACCAAGTTAGACTTGAACTCACAGAAACCTGCCTGTTTCTGCCTTCTGAGTACTGGGATTAAAGGAGTGCACCAACCCCCCCCCCCAGCATTAGTCCTGTTTTTAATGTTTAGTCTAAGATCTAAAAACACCTGTACCTACCAGGAAAGAAAGGGACCAGGTCTTTAATGTCAGTGTGGAAATAGTGCTTCTTAGTTTCCGGTGTTCTTTCCTATGTTTAACACGTGTGCAGCTATTATTACAAATATATGCTCATGCTTCTAGCTCCTTTCCTGTTTTCTTTTTTTATTTAAATTAGAAACAAGTTTGCTTCACATGTCAATCCCAGCTCCCTCTCCCTCCCTTACTCTCCCCGCCCCCTTTCCTGTTTTCTTTTGTTTTACACCCATGGACTTTAGCTATCTTGAGATAAATTTAAGAAAGTAAGTGTGGGAGTTAGAGGATGGCTCAGTGATGAAGAGCACCAACTGCTCTTCTAGAGGACCCGGGTTCAATTCCCAGCACCCACATGGCAGCTAATAACTGTCTGATCTGACACTCTTACACAGACATACATGCAGGCAAAACACCAGTGCACACAAAATAAAAATAAGTAAATAATTAAAAAAGAAAGTAAGTGTACTTAGCACCTGACAGCCTTTAACACTGAAATCCACTGGCAATGTGAGTAGGAACATCGAGGTAAATGTCCTTCTGCAGTTTCTGAGCATCTCCTCAATTGTACTTTTTCATCCTTCCAATTTAGTTGACCATGGCCTTGCCAGGCTGGTGACAGTATATTGTGAGCATGGCCACAAAGCTGCCCAGATCAACCCTCTCTTCCCTGGACAAGCCCTTCTGAATACTGTGCCTGAAATCCAAGCCCTTGTACAGACACTTCAGGGACCCTTCACTACCGCAGGTAAGGCAGCACCTGGGCAAGAGTGGGGGATCTGTCAGATGAAGTGTCTTGTTCTGTCCTTCAAGAACCGGATGCCCTGCATTAGAGACTTCATCAGGTGAAGGGACAAAGAAGGACACACATAGGAGCTGCCTTGAAGTTCTAGAGTGGTCTTGTTTCTCTGTGGTTAAAACATATAGAGCAGATTGTTGACAAGGCGGTTCAATGGGTAAAGGTGCCTGCCACCAAGTGGGACATACATAGTAAAAGGGGAGTGCCAGCTCTGACCTTCATGTGTTATGTGTGATGGAGTGCACATGGCATCCCCCCATACATAAATAACAGTATTTTATAATCCAAACATATATGTGCTACACACCTTGCCTTTAGATGCTGATTCGTTTTCATAACTGCTCCTAAAAGTCCTTATTACCATATTTAGTTTAGAGATGGTGTCTTAGTTACTTTGCCACAGCCGTGATAAAACATACCGACCAAGGCCACTTACAGAAGACAGGGTTTATTTGGGCTTGTGATTCCAGAGGGGAAGTATGGCAGCAGGCAGGCATGAAGCTAGAGCAACAAGCTTCAAGCACACATTTAGGAGTGATATCTGGCTTTTAAAATCTCAAAGCCCACTCCTAGTGACATACTTCCTCCAATGTGGCCTCCTGAATAGCACCAGTACCTGGGGACCAAGTGTTCAAATATCCGGACTTAATGGGGCCTTCTCATCCAAACTATCATAGATGGAAGCAGATTCAGACAGCTTAAGTAATACGTAGCTGCTACATGGCAGAGGTAGGGAAACATCTTAGGTCTGCTTTCATTTCAAAGCCTAAACCCCCTCATCCCAGTTTCTTTCCAAGCCTGGGAACTAAAACAACATCAAAATAAAACAAACAAAAAAAACCTGGGCCTAGATCACAAGTCATGGTTTTAGTGTTTTATATTGTATTATATATAGTATTATTGTAGTGCAAGGATGAGACCTGGGATCCTGTGCATGCCAGGCAAGAAAGATCTTTACCACTGCAATGAATTCCTATTTCAGGAGTTTCAAGTTTTAGTTTGAAATTACTATGGAATCAAAACTTGGCATAATGTGATAGAGCTGTGTTCTTAAGGAGGTCTCCTCCCTATCTAGTTTTTCTACCTTCTGGCCATCAACCATAATTTTAATTTTTACCTTTAGAAAAGGTCTAGATGGATCAGAGGCTATATACCTCAGTGGCAGAGTACATGCTTGTTATGTGAGGAATCCTGGGTATACTTTTTCACAATTTTAAAAAGGGAATATTAATCATCATTGATAATGCTTCAGTTTGTAATGGAGTGCTCAGAACTGAAGCAATAACATTGTTCTGTGTTGTTCTGCAGCTTATTTTCTGTGTGGTTGATTATTCTTCGAAATGAGCCCTTTGTTCTATTTCACAGGCCTGTTGAACATGGGCAAAGAAGAGGCTTCTCTTGAGGAAGTATTAGCCTATTTGAACCATATCTACTGCGGGCCAATTTCTATTGAAACCGCCCAGCTTCAGAGCCAGGAGGAGAAAGACTGGTTTGCCAGAAGGTTTGAGGAGCTGAAAAAGGAGACATTTACCACAGAAGAGCGAAAACACCTGGCAAAACTATTGCTAGAATCTCAGGTATAAAAAGTATCAACCAGAGATGACTCAGCAGTTAAGAGCACTAGGTGTTCCTTCTAGAGGACCCAGGTTCAATTCCCAGTACCCATGTGGTGCCTCACAACTGTCTTTACCTCCAGCTCCAATGCTTATGGCCTCTGAGGGCACCTGTACTCATATGCACATACATACATACAACTTTAAGTAACTAGAAATGGTAAAAATAGACGTAGAAATAAGTATTAGCTAATATTAGGGGATCGAGTCTTTTCACTTTCTGTAAAGATAACTAGCTACTGAAGAAGGAAAGGGAGACATTAGACCTTGCCCCGTCCCTCCCCATGGCTTCAGCACAACAGACTGAACAACACCTCACCCCACCCAGAAGCAAACAAACATTTGAGCCATTGGTTTTCCTCAGCACTGAAGTATGCTAATGTATTCATCTGCTTGTTTTATAAAACATAATAAAGTCCTTAAGATTGTACACCTCCTTTTGTTTCCCGAAGAGACTGATAAGCTGCTCAACAGAAGTTCTCAGTGTCAGTTAGCAGAAGTAGATCATCACCAGGGCCAAGTAAGAGCTCAGGCATGTCAAACTGATAAGAAGGCGAGTCCCATCAGTTTGAGTACTTGGATAGTGTTAGAGCTTGGTTACATAATACTATAGAGCCTCTGTGAAAACTACTGTGTTGGGCAAGGCAGCAGATAGCTAAGTCTGGCCTTAAGTCTGGAAATGAATACATAAGGAGGTTGTTCCCAGACACGCGATTCTACCACTCAGGTTCTTCTCTTTACAGCTCCTTCTGTGTCAAGGGTCATTTGCAGAGCTGTGTTATACCGTGATGTCTCTCTCTGTGGATGTGTAGTCAAGGGACACAGATATGACCACTGGAATAATGTGGGCCTTCTTATAACACAGAACTTATCTGCCTGTTGCCTGAGCACTTGACTGTCTTCCAGCAGCTAATAAATCTGTTCCATAGGAGTTTGACCACTTTTTGGCCACCAAGTTTGCCACAGTGAAGAGATATGGAGGTGAAGGGGCCGAGAGCATGATGGGATTTTTTCATGAGTTACTGAAATCGGCAGCCTATGGCGGTATAACTGATATCATTATTGGGATGCCCCATAGAGGGAGGCTGAACTTGTTGACAGGCCTCCTGCAGTTACCTCCAGAGGTAAGTTTTCTTTCAATATTTTTTGTTGTTTTAATGTCCATGTCTTTTTATAATAATACTTTTTTAGTTTAAAAATTATAATATAATCACATCATTTTCCCCTTCCTTTTTTCCCCCTCCATACACTTTCATACAGCTCTTGGCTCTCTCTCAAATTCATGGTCTCTTTTTCTCTATACATACCCTACCCTACTTCATACACTCCTAAATATGTAATATAACCTGCTAGGTCCGTATAATGTTATAATGTTACATGTATGTATCTGACCTTAGGGCTAACCACTCGGTATTGGGTAACCAAATGGAGGCTCTTCCCTGAGGGAAGATCCTTTCTTTCAGCATTCCCCAGTTGCTTGTCCCAGGTTGAGGTCCCAGGAGCTTCCCCCTTCCCATGTTAGCATGTCCATTGATGATGTTGTTCAGGTCTTGTTTAGGTGGCCATATTGGGGAGACTTCATGGATATAGCTTTTCTGATGTCTAGGAGACTTTCTGTGGTTCTTGTCAGGGTAGGATTAGAACAGACTAAAACTGATGGTGGTGATTTCCTTTAGAAACTAATGGAGCCTATGAGCAGTTGATGGAGAGATAGCTTAGTGAATGGGTGGAACTTAATGCTGACAAGTAGACCTGAGGTTAATTTTTCTGTATTGTTCTCATGAATTCTTTCTTCTCTTGGGGAAATTAAGGGTTAGTTTGCTTCAACATGCATGGTGATCAAGGAATGATAAGGAAAGCTGTCCTCTGCCCTCCCCACCCCAGCACACACACATACACAAAAAGGAAATATAAAGTACCTGGTGGAACACAGCCCAGCATTGGCATCAACAGTATTACTGCAAAGCTTACGCCCCAGCTCCTGCAGAATTCGCCATGTCTCAGTTTCTTTTTGTTGCTGTGAAGAGACACCACGGCCAGGGCAACGTATGGAGAAATTTATTGGTGGCTTGCTTACAGTTTCCACAACCGTCATGGAAGGGAGCAGGGCAGCCGACAGGTAGGCGGGCATGCACGATGCTGGAGCAGTGAATGAGAGCTTACATCTGATCCACAAGCATAAGGCATTGAGAGAGCTAAGTGGGAATGGCTCAGCCCCGCCCCCAGTGACACATCTCCTCCAATAAGGGCACACCTCTTAATTCTTCCCAAACTGTCCCACCAACTGGGAACAAAGCATTCAGACATATGAGGCTATGGAAGCCACCCTTTTAAACCACCATAGACTAGCCATGTAAGCCAGAGGCAATGACTTCAAGGATCCAGAAGGCAAGGGACTTCACGGGAATATCCCATGTTCTGCCTTCCACTGTGTCCTGGGTCCTTACAACTGCCCCCTTTAGTGAGTTCCTTTGGCAGTGGTCAAGCTTCATAATTTTCTCAGTCCATGATACAAACCTGTTTTTTTTTTTAATTTTCCAGGGCTAGTGACATCTAGGGAACCTTTCTGTCTTAGGGCAGGGACAGCCTGTAGCCCACACTTCCAGCTGGCTTTATGAGAAGCCTAGACAACCTGCCATCATCACTCTTAACTGAGACCTGTCTGGGCTATGGTAGCGTGGATACTTAACTGGCAGGACTAGGAACTTCCTATACAGCTGAGGGCGTCTGAGTAAGGGCTTCTGGGTCAGCCACAGAATGGGGATCTGCTTTCTTCACTGCCTACTGAAACCTGGATACCTGAGCAGGCCTGGGAATACTCCATATTCCCCATTGGTAGGCTTTGAGTCTACTGGGGTATCTGGTGGAAATCACCTTCCAACCACATTTCAGGGAAATGTTTTTCTGGCGGAAGGGTCCCATATCCAACTAGAATACCTGTTGTGCTTTGGGTTTGTGTTTCCTGTGAATTTTTTAATCTATCTGTACATAACTGTTCAAATGCTAAGTTCAGGGCCAGTGGAAGGGTCAATAGTGTGTCTCTGTCCTTGTGCAGGTGACCCAAGCCAGTGTGTGTGTGTGTGTGTGTGTGTGTGTGTGTGTAGAGAGAGAGAGAGAGAGAGAGAGAGAGAGAGAGAGACAGACAGACAGACAGACAGAGACAGACAGACAGACAGACAGACAGACAGACAGACAGAACACAGGTGAAAAGTACAAACTCTGGGGACTCATGGGCACTGCACTGGATCTTTGGTCTCCTATAAAGACACACTGTTAGCACTGTGAACGAAAGGCCCCAAGTTTTACTTGATATGTGAGAGTGTCACCTCCCCACCATCCTCAACATGCCTTTGGGAATGATGTCACATGGACAGTGTCTAGAGTAGAATGAAGTGGGCAGTTCATCTTATTTGCAGGACCCATGTTAATAGTCAGATGCAAATAAGCAGACTCTAGTGGGAAAAGCTATGAGGTCTGTGCACATTTGAGTGAGATGTGGCCCCTGGCTTTCTCAGATGAGAAGGGAGAAGCAGGCAGGAACATAAGGCTCTCTGCACTCATCATCTCAGTGGAAATCCCAGAGAGGTATGATTCCCACACATCCTAAGCACCCTGCACCCTCCTGAGTGCTGGGACTAAAGGCGTGCTCCACCACTTCCCAGCATAGTAACTCTTTAATATGTTTAAGACTGCAGAAATTTCAAAGTAGAAATTTGGTTGGGTAGAAAGCTAGCTAAAATATCTACCTTCCTCAAACAGAATTACAAAAAGACTAAATTGCACTTACAATTTACAGAGATATGGTGGCTGGAATCACTACTAATGATTACATATTTTAAAAGATACATAAGGCAAAGGTATTTATTATTTGCTTTGGGTTAGAATCCTCTTAAAATAATGCCACTAGAGTCTGGAGAAATATATAGGGAGGTAAGAACCTATTTGCAGAAGACTTGAGTTTAGTGTCCACTACACATGATGGTGGGCTCCAGGAAGTCTCACTGGTATTGTGTGTCTGGTGGAGACTACCTTCCAGCCACATTTCAGAGAAGTGTTTCTCTGGCAGAAGGGTCCAGTTTCTTCTGGGCTCCATGGATACCTGGACTTATGTGCACTTACCCATACACAAGCACATTTACATATAGACAAGTAGACTTCCAAGTAGTTCTGAGTGACCCAGCGATTAGAAATCTGTGCCTATCTTTGAATAATGCATATTTGTAATAACTATAAAAGAATTTACATAATGCTTATCTTTCTTTAAGCTCACCTTAGACTTCACTGTAATAAGACTTGTTTGGTATCTTATATGTTTCTTCTAATAGCTGATGTTCCGTAAAATGCGAGGCTTAAGTGAATTTCCAGAAAATGTCTCAGCCATTGGAGATGTCCTGTCCCATCTGACCTCTTCAGTGGACCTAGACTTTGGTGCTCACCGTCCACTCCATGTGACGATGCTGCCTAATCCCTCACATTTGGAAGCTGTTAACCCTGTGGCTGTAGGGAAAACTCGTGGCAGGCAGCAGTCTCGGGAAGATGGTGACTACTCTCTACACAGTTCTGCTCAGCCTGGGGACAAAGTCATTTGCCTCCAGGTATGTGAGTCTGGGAAGGGAGAAACGACTGGAAATAACATTGTCTGTGATGGTAGATGTGACAGGAGATTGCAGATGTTCAAGTGGGAAGTGAAGTGAAGTGACATTTTGAGAAACAAGAATTCCAGGGCTTAAATTTTTTTCTTAAAATTTCTATGATATATTTATTATTTGCAGCAGGTTTCAAAAAAGCGCCCTACCCCAACCACCTTGTCTACCAAGTTTCATGGTGATATTCTAATCTAGTGGCTTTGGATATCCTAAAGGATTAGCATATTTTAGACAACCTTTCATAATAATACTTTGATTTTCAAAATATTACTTTTCTACTTATATGTGACTGACTGTCTTTCTTCCTGCACCTTGGCTTTAATGCATGCCATCATCTTACTCTCTTATATTCAGGATAGTGGGCTGGATTTGGTGGTGGGAGCTACTTCTCTCTGTCTCTTTTCAGGGGTGAGTGACTGGGAGAGGAAGAACTCAGAGGTGTGCACTGTTCTTCATAGACTTGTATGTGTGTGTGAGATGTGAGGGGGGTATGCATGCCACAACATGCATGTGGAGGTCAGAGAACAATATTGTGGAGTCAGCTCTGTCTTTCTGTATTTATCTGAGTTTCCAGATCCTCAGGTTTATGAGGTAAGCACTTTCATGTAAAATTTCCTAGAGCTGAAGCTGAACCTGAACCTGTAGCTCAGTGGTAGAGTGCTTGCCTAGAAGACATGAGACCCTGGGTTCAATCCCTAGCAGAGAAAGAAGTCCCCGAAGTGATGCTTTCATTGCACATGTAGTAGCCACTCCTCCCATGTGCTGCTGTGGATGCTAGAATGATTGTGCAAGTGAGGAATCGGATGCAAGGGGTGGGATGGGTAAGGCGGTACAGTGTTAATGGAGAAACGATAAGGCAAATTTGAAAAGTGCTTTGAGATGAGTTTAAACACAATAAGAAATCCTGAAATCTATGTTTTCAGGTCAGGAGAGTCATGAGAATGTGGTTGTTGGTATCCTATTAATATTTTAAAACAGTTTGTTTCAATCAAGAAATCTAAGTTTATTAATTCCTTATTTCCTCCATCTCACACGTGTTTTAGGTTCATGGTGATGCTTCCTTCTGCGGTCAAGGGATTGTTCTTGAAACATTCACCCTCTCTAATCTCCCACATTTCAGAATTGGTGGGAGTATCCATCTAATAGTCAATAACCAGCTGGGTTACACCACGCCAGCAGAAAGAGGGAGGTCTTCCTTATACAGCAGTGATGTTGGTACGTGGCACACTAGAATTAACATTGTTATGTCAGCCAGACCAGGAATTTGCAGAGAAACTTCTAGTTCATTCAGAACAATGAGTCTTGCTGGTTATCCCATTTTAAATTTTTTTTGAGATAGGGTTTCTCTGTATAAACAGCCCTGGCTATCCTGCAACTCACTCTGTTGACCAGGCTGGCCTCGAACTCACAGGTATCTCCTTGCCTCTGCCTCCTAACCAAAATAACTTATAAAAGAAAGCATTTAACTGGGGGTTTGCTTACAGTTTCAGATGTTGAGTCCATGACCAGCCTGATGGTGGGCATGGCTCTGGAGCAGTAGCTGAGAGCTTTCATCTGATTGACAAGCATGTGTCAGAGAGTGAGAGATTGGGCCTGACATGGGCTTTTGAAACCTAGAAGCCTATAGGGGTTTTTCTTAAGTGCTGGAATTAAAGATGTGTGCCCCCTCTACCAGCCATTTTAATAGTTTCAATCTAGATATGGTCAGTAGTTGCCAAAAATGACCAAGGTTACATTCATATTTTTAAATTTGAGCATGCTATTTATTTATTTTATATGATGTTAGTTGAACACAAGGTATCATGAATGGTACCCAAGCACTCTACCACAGAACTGCATTAGAGTGTTATGCATATTAGGCAAGCGCCCTTCCACAGAGCTACACTTCAACCTCCACTGTGAGCTTTTAAATCAAAGGAAATTAGGCAAGGATGGAGCTGAGAGTATTTAACCATATTACACAGTTAGTTGGTTTATCTGGTAGAAACCAAATAGCAGTGTAGTTGGTACATTAATAGAGTAATTACTTTTAGACTATTCGAGTTTAGAGTGCTCAGAGTCTCAGTAAAAAAGGCTGTGTTCACTCAGTAAATTTGTTAAAATAAAATAGTCTAGTTTGAAATAAGTTGTAGGCAGGTAGTTGCTGCCCATGCTTTTAATCCCAGCACTCAGGAGATAGAGGCAGTTGGATCACTGTGAGTTCTAGGCCAGACTGGTCTACAGAGTGAGTTCTAGGATAGACAGGGCTCCTCCATCAGTTCATTTTCACTCCAGGAGCTCGGCCCAATGATTAGTTGTAGATTTCTGCATCTGCTTTCATCTGTTTCTAGAAGAGGGTTCTAGCTTCTCTGGGGTTGTAGATTGTAGACTGGATACAAATCAGGGATTTTATTGTCCACTCGTAGTTCACAAAACTATTTAACTGGAGTCTGGACTCAATACCTTTAAAAATTTCTGGCACAGGAAAGATACTTTCAAGAACTATGTTGGGAGAAAAATCTTTTCCTAGGATTCATTCTTTAATGACCATTTGTCTCAGGAAGAAAGATAATAGTAGTAATAACAATAACAAAATAAATGTTAACTGTCACTGTATAAGATACTGTGAAACACTGACTCTATATTCTTTAGTTCAGGAAATCTTGACAGTCTCACTCAGAGCCTAGACTAGACTCATTAATTATTTTTGAATTTATCTTATTTTTATTTTTTTTGTTTTTGTTTTTGTTTTTTTCTTTTTCTTTCGAGACAGGGTTTCTCTGTGGCTTTGGAGGCTGTCCTGGAACTCGCTTGGTAGTTCAGGCTGGTCTCGAACTCACAGAGATCCGCCTGCCTCTGCCTCCCGAGTGCTAGGATTAAAGGCGTGTGCCACCAACGCCCAGCTTCTTATTTTTATTTTATGTGTGTGTGTGTTTTGCATACTTGTATGTCTCTGTACCACATGCATGCAGTAGCTGTGGATACCTAAAGAGTGTTGGGTTTCACTGGGACTGCCATTACAGACAGTTGTCAGCTACTGTGTGGGTGCTAGGACTCAAACCCACATCCTCAGGAAGAGCAGTCAGTGCTCTTAACCTTGCCCTCTAGCTTCTAGACTGAGATGTCTACCTTTTCCAACGTCTCACTGAGTCGTAGTAGAACTGAGTCTCATTGGCTGGATTCCAGCTTGTATTCTTTTTTCTTTTTTTTTCTTTTTGGTTTTTCGAGACAGGATTTCCCTGTGGCTTTGGAGGCTGTCCTAGAGCTAGCTCTTGTAGACCAGGCTGGCCTCAAACTCACAAAGATCCACCTGTCTCTGCCTCCCGACTGCTGGGATTAAAGGCATGCGCCATCACCACCGCCCCACCAGAGCTTGCATTCTTAAAACACAGGCTTAACTACCTCTGCACTGCAGGGCTGTCTTCCCACTTAGGCAAGTAGGTGTTGAGAAATGACTAATATTAGCCCATGTTAACTGGCCATTTTTTATCTTGGTCTTACTTTCTTTAGGAAAGCTAGTAGGCTGTGCCATCATCCACGTCAATGGAGACAGTCCAGAGGAAGTGGTCCGGGCCACACGCCTTGCTTTTGAATATCAGCGCCAGTTCCGAAAGGATGTAATTATTGATTTGTTATGCTATAGGCAGTGGGGTCATAATGAACTGGATGAACCTTTCTTCACCAACCCAGTCATGTACAAAATCATCAGGTACCATTAGAAATCTTCCTTTAATATATAGGCTAACCTCCTACTCCTCAATTGATCAGTCGTTTTTGTGGTGGTTGAGGGTTGTGTGTGTATGTGCATGAGCATACGTGGAGGTCAGAGGACACTTGTGGTAGTTGGTTCTTTCTATGTTGGTCCTTTGGAACAAGCCCAGGTGCCCATAGCAGTTGAACTATCTTGTCAGCCTGTACCCCCATTATTGTCTATTGTCTTTTTTATTATTAATTTACTTTTTACATTCCTGGTTTTTTTTTTTTTGAGACAGGGTTTTTATGTGTATGGTTGGCTGTCCTGGAACTTTCTCTATAGACCAGGCTAGCCTTGAACCCACTGAAATCCTCTTGCCTCTGCCTCCCAAATGCTGGGATTATAGGCATGCATCTGGCTCTAGACCATTTAAGTGACTTTCAAGGGGGACAACATCCTGCTGTGCCCTTGGTAATGATTATCTCTTATAATTGTATGTATTTGATTGACCCTGTCTCTATTCCACACTTTCCATCTCTTTCCAACAGAGCCCGAAAGAGCATTCCTGACACCTATGCAGAGCACCTCATTGCCAGTGGACTCATGACCCAGGAGGAGGTTTCTGACATAAAAACCTCCTACTACATCAAATTAAACGACCACTTAACCAATGTGGCCCACTACAGCCCCCCTGCCACTAACCTGAGGGCCCACTGGCAGGGCCTGGTACAGCCAGAAGCGCACATCACCACCTGGGACACAGGTGTGCCTCTAGAACTCCTTCGCTTTGTTGGTGTGAAGTCTGTGGAGGTTCCAGAGGAACTACAGTTACATAACCACCTTCTCAAGATGTATGTTCAGGTGGGACACCTTGACATCACCTTTCACTGCTTTTGATTTTTGTTCAGCAAAAAAACTGTTGTTCTGATGCTTTTAGTTGCTAATGTTAGAAATATTGTTGTTTGTTATTGGGTTGTAGCAGCTGATTCTCATGTAGTTTTAGAGCTATGATTTAGTAGATTGAGATTTTCTTCTGTTTTCCTCTATGGGAATTTTATGTGTGCTGAGCATATTATGTATATAAGAAATGCATGCTCATTTTTTTTTCTCGTTTTTCGAAACAAGGTTTCTCTGTATTTTTTTGGAGGCTGTCCCGGAACTCACTCTGTAGACCAACCTGGCCTCGAACTCACAGAGATCTGCCTTCCTCTGCCTCCCGAGTCCTGGGATTAAAGGTGTGCGCCACCAATACCTGGCTGAAATGTATGCTCATTTTAAAAACATACAGAAATATGTTTGTTGAAGTGCATCTCCAGCCCTCTGCAGTATTTTGAAAAGAATAATTCTGTAACATTTAATATATTACGGTGTTTTACATCCACCATCTCTATCTAGTTCTGGAACATTTCTTTTTTTGTTTATTCGGGTTTCTTTTTGTTTTATTTTGTTTTTTGTGTTTTGGTTTTTCTGTTTCTCTTTGAAACAGTCCTGGCTGTCCTGGACCTCACTCTGAAGACCAGGCTAGCCGTGAACCCACAGAACCTGAGCCCTTTGCAACAGTAAGAAGTATGCTTAATAGCTGAGCTATTTTTCCAGCCCTCAGGATACGGATTCTTAAAAGTTTGTTTTATTTTCTTCCTTTCCATTTTTTCTTCTGTTTTTTTGCAGTCAAGAATGGAGAAGGTGAAGAATGGAACAAATTTAGACTGGGCCACAGCAGAAACCCTTGCCTTGGGCTCCTTACTTGCTCAAGGTAAGAAATTGCTGTTTAGCTGCACAGCTGGTAGGAAATGGCTCTGAGATACACTTATACGCGATCTTCTGAGTTTCAATGGCCTCTTGTCACTTTCATTGATTAGAGAATTTAAAATTTCTTAGCTGACAATAGTCCTTAGCTATAAGGCATGTTGAGCACTTCCATCAGCACATAGACAAAGCTGCAGCCATAACTGGGACACACAGGACTCACCCCTGGATGTACTGCAAAGATGTTTCTCTAAAAATTGTAGGGCTGGAAATGACTCTCCATTCTTAAAATTTTTACATTGACTATACACCTTCAAAAATAGGAAAGATATCTACATACACACATATAGTGATATACTACTTTTAATTATGTGTACTTGTTTGTCTACATATGGGTATGTGCACATACTAGTACCCAAGGAGGTCCGAGTCTTCAGATTCCTCTGTAGATGGAGTTAGAGGCAGTTGTAAGCAGCTTCATATGGGTGCTGGGAACTGAACTCAGAAAAAAAACAAGTGCTCTTAACCAGTGAGCCATCTCTCCAGCATCAGGAGGATCTATTATCCTAAGGAAAATTCATATCCTAAGGAATGAGCCAGTGTGTGACATCAGATAACTGTGTGTGACAGTGCTTACCTATTGCCAAGCTCCTCAGGAGCCCGGGAGTTCAACACCAGTGTTGACAGCATTGGGAGGTTTTGTCTTAAAACAAAAGGACTCCAGGACTATCATGTCTTATTTTTGTGCTTGTTATTCATGGCAGTCTTTTTTCTTCTCCCGCTTGCTCGCTTCAGGTTTCAATGTTCGTCTGAGTGGCCAAGATGTTGGCCGTGGAACTTTTAGTCAAAGGCATGCAATGGTGGTTTGCCAGAACACAGATGATGCCTACATTCCTCTGAACCATATGGACCCTAATCAGAAGGGGTTTCTGGAGGTAAGTCATTTACATATCAATGTGCCAACTATTACAGTTACAACATTTTATTTGATTTGTGTTTCTGAGACAGAGTCTTAGTCCAGGCTGCCCTCAAATTCCCCAGGGGCTGAAAGTGACCTTGAATTCCTCTTCATCCTTCTGACTCGACCTCAGGTGCTGGGGGTTATAGGCCTGCACCATCACACCCAGCAGTTAGAGGGTTCTTCAAGCAACTCAATTCAGATGTCAGAAACTTCATGTTCAATACTTCTTTTTTAAATAAAGGAATGCTGAGTGGGGAGACAGTGGAGGTCTGTAAATTTGGAATGGAAGAAACAAATGACAGCCATGTTGGAGCTGGCACTTGAAGACTAGAGCAATCACCCTGGCCGCCTATCTGTAATTATGTCAAGTTAAAAACCAACATTGCAGGCTGCAAACTGTTGTGATTTATTAAACTTAATTAAAGTTGTGGATAGTAAGCCAACATTTCTAGCCTGCTAAAACAAAACAGAGTACAACAGAAACACTTCCTCCAGGTTATCTTGCTTCCTAAAGTTTAATGGGTGTTTCTTTGGATTTCTCTGTGTAGCCCAGTTCCTGGAACTCACTCTGTATACCCGGCTAGCCTCAAACTCACAGAGATTCATCTGCTTCTGCCTCCCGAGTGCTGGGATTAAAGGCGTGAGCCACCACCCCCCAGCCCATTTTTAAGATCTTAAGAGCAGGGTCTTTTCGTTTTTTGTTTCTTCAACAATTGCTTTAGTGAACAATGCATGATATGAAAACAAATTATCCCCTTAAGGTAAACCTAATAATTTGTTGCCTTCTTTCCTATTCCAGTTGTTGCTTTGAAAATATAACCTGTGTGTTTGATGAGGCTGGGAGACAACTCAGGCAATAGAGTGCTTCCTATGCAGGCATTAATTTAGTCCCTGGCATCTGGTAAAAAGCCAGGCACAGCAGTCCCAGCACTAGGGAGGTAAAGACAGGAGGATCTGGGGCCTTACTTGTCAGCCAGTCCAGCTGAATCTTGGAGCTTCAGGTCCAGTGAGATATTCCATCTCAAAAAATAAGGTGGAAAGTGGTGGAGAAAGAAGGAGATATATCCCTTTCTTATTTTTCTAAAATCTGTCTTTGTATCAAATCAGATTAATGAACCAGGGTAAAAGTGTTTAGTGTCCTGCCACCTCATATTAGACTTTCACTGAGCTGTGATCTGGTATTTAGTGTCAGTTTTGATATATTGGAGGGCCATGGTGCAAGCCACAGCTCCTGTTTAACCAGGAAGCGGTGAGGGGAAACAACACTCCCCTTTGTAGAGTTGCTAAGCTAGGATGCTCCCTCTTAAGATGCTTAGTGCACTTTTTTTTTTTTTTTTTTTTTGGTTTTTCGAGACAGGGTTTCTCTGTGGCTTTGGAGGCTGTCCTGGAACTCGCTTGGTAGTTCAGGCTGGTCTCGAACTCACAGAGATCCGCCTGCCTCTGCCTCCCGAGTGCTAGGATTAAAGGTGTGTGCCACCAACGCCCGGCTCGCTTAGTGCACTTTTGACATATATTTTTAACCTTTATTTGTATGTGTATGAGTGCTTTGCTTGTATGTATGTCCATGTGCCATTTGTGTGCCCGATGCCTGAGGAGGCTGGAAGAGAACATTGATGCCCCTGGAATTACAGTCAGTTGTGAGCCTCCATGTGGATCCTGGGAAATGAACCCAGATCCTCTGGAATAACAGCCAGTGCTCTTAACCACTGTGCTATGTTTCTAGTTCAGTTGGCTTATACTATTTTCAAACCAATCAATGGGCTTATTGGAACATGACCCCATCACAAGTCACAGAGCAACTGTACTTATTTAGAGGGTAGATAAAAGTAAAAGAGTTGAAGATAAGTCAATTAAGTCACTTCCTAGAAAAGAAACCACCCCCCCAAAAATGGCTGAGGGAGTAATTTTTGTTTTATTTTTAAGCATTTGATGGTCTCTTTGGTGGGGTAAAGTTCAGGAAGGAGGAATTAGGTAATGGAACCAGGACCTGGAAGGGACAGAAAGAAGGAATGGATGGAGAATGAGTGAGCACTGAACATGTCAATCTTGGATAGGAAGAGATGGGAAGGAGGAAGTGGGAGCAGAGAGGGATGTATGCAATATGCCTTGGCTAAAATGCATTTATAACACACATCAACCTGAAATCTGAAGTCAGAATAGGCATCTAAAGGAATAAATTAAGCCTGATTCCACCCACCATGCTAGAAAATAATCCATTGACATTGTTGTGTTTGTCATTTAGTTCCTATCTATATAAATCACATTTTATAGCTGTTATTAGAAGTTATATAGTTCCTCTCCCTCCCTCCCTTCCTCCTTCTCTCCCTCCCTCTCTCCCTCCCTGTGTGTATGTGTGTGTGTGTGTGTGTGTGTGTGTGTGTGTGTGTGCTTGCACGCATTTGAGTTATATAGTCCATCATTGAGGGAAGTTGAGGCTTGTTTTAATGGCTTGTTCCCCTGGTTTGTTCATAGTCTAACCCCCCCCCCGGCTCAGGGATAGTACCAAACACAATGGGCTGTTCCCACTTATATACTTATATCAATTAGTAATTAAGAAAATACTTCACAGATATGGCCACAGGCCACTCAAATACAGACAGTTTCTTAACTGAAGTTCCCAATCCCAGGTAAGTCTATTTTGTATTAAATAGACAAAACTACTCAGCACACTGTGTATATGCATACCCATGTATACATGCATATGTGCAGGCCAGAGAACAAGCTTGGGTGTTGTCCCTGAATTACCATCCACATTTCTGTTTTTGAGATGTGATCTCTCACTGGCTAGGTAGGCTAGGTTGTTGACTGACCAAGGAGCCCCAGGGAACCCCCTGTCTCTACCATCTCAGCTCTAGGATTGCAAACTTGTGCCATCATGCCTAGTTTTCCTGATGCATGGCAACACTTTGCTGACTGAGCTATCTTCTGAGCCCTCTGGGGTTGTTGGTTTGTTGAAGATTTTATTGAAAAATAACTCACAAAATTTGACCTTTGCATGTGTATAGTTCAGCACTAAGACCATCACCACTGTTTGATTTCAGAATATTTTCATCTCTTCAAAGGAAACATTGTAACTATCAGCACCTGTCTCCCATTCCATCCTCCCTCTAGTTGCTGGCAGCCACTAGTCAGTTGACTGTCTGTTTTAATGGATTTGTCTGTCTCAGGAAGCTCATGTACATAGGGTGATATAGTCCCTTATATGACATTAATTTGACATAGTATTTTCAAGGCCCATCTATGCTGTCTTATTTGTCAGTACTTCATTCCTTTTCATTGCCAATAAATATTCTGTAGAAGCCGGGTGTTGGTGGCACATGCCTTTAGTCCCAACACTTGTGAGGCAGAGGCAGGCAGGCAGATCTCTGCAAGTTCAAGGCCAACCTGGTCTACAGAGCGAGTTCTAGGACAGCCTCCAAAACAATACAGAGAAACCCTGTCTCGAAAACCCCCTAAAAATATTCTGTAGAGATGTAACATTCAAAAATTGGAAAAAAAAGAAAAGTTGGAGCAAGATGGGTATGGTTACTCATGCCTACAATACTAGGAATCTAGAAAGTAAAGCAACAGGATTATCATGAGTTTGAGGCCAGCCTGGGCTACATAGCAAGTTCCAGACCAGCTTGGGCTACAGAGTGAGACTCTATCTCAAACAAAATCCTTTTTTTTTTGAGACAGGTTTTCTCTGTGAGCTTTGGAGCCTGTCCTGGAACGCAGTCTGCAGACCAGGCTGGTGTCAGACTCACAGAGATCCTCCTGCCTCTGCCTCCTGGGATTAAATGCGTGTGCCCTGAGGCATACTGATACCTTCTCAGCCATCTTGCTATCTCCCCCAAGTAGCTTCCTTCCCTCCTTTTTCCCTTTTTTCTTTTCTGTGGTGGTGCTGGAGTTTGAACCCAGGACCTTGTGAATGTTAGGCAAGTACTCTTGAAGAAAACATTGAATGACTGCACTCCAATGTCTTCTCTTTTCCTTTTTTTGTCCTGACTTTCTCCAAATGCACTAGTGACACTGATCAGTAGGTCTCCTTTTGCAAAGAGATGAGGTGATGAGTGAGAGCAAAGCTCCCTTCCATGCCCCTCCTTCTCCTGAGAGGCTTGTATCCTCATGGAGCTTTACTTTTGCTGGCTTCTCTCAGATGTCTCATGCACTTCCGTGTCTGATTCTCTTCCTTGCTATTAGGTTAGCAACAGCCCCCTGTCAGAAGAGGCTGTCCTGGGGTTTGAATACGGAATGAGCATTGAAAGTCCAAAGTTGCTGCCCCTCTGGGAAGCTCAGTTTGGTGATTTCTTCAATGGAGCCCAGATCATCTTTGACACATTCATCTCTGGAGGTTGGTGTTAGTGAGTGGCTGGGTGGTGGTGGGTCCAGTCTCATATCATAAGTAAATGGAAAAGGGCCATCGCTGCCTCTGAGATTCTCTGTACCACAGCATCTCCAGAGAGTTTGGGGAGTTGACTTGTTATCTTCTGCAGGTACATGACAGCTTTCAGGAAGTTTAATGAGCTTCTAGGAAGAGTATCTTAGCTTTCTGTCAGCATTTCATTGTCCCCCATCTCCTGAGGAATGTGTCTAGCTGTTATCTAGCACAGATGTACCCAGCAGCTCCTGGCTATGTGGTTCTGCACCTGTTCTTGGAGTGCTAAATAGCATAATTAGCCAGCATTCTGTGGTGACACAAGTAACACTTTATGGTTGGGATTGATGATTCCCTTGAAAATCTGACATTTTTTAGAAGGAAGAAAAATGCTTGAGGAATCTTGATTTTGATATGTCCAGAAACTACTTGTGTATGTTCATGTGTATGCAAATGTACATGCATATGCATATAGTTACATATGGAAATCAGAGTTCAACCTCAGGTGTTATTTTCAGGAGCTGTCTGCCTTGTTTTTTGAGATAGAGTCTCTCACCGGGACTTGGGGCTCACCAATTAGGCTAAGTTGGCTGGCCAGCAAGACTTAGGGATCCATCTCTTTGCTTCCCTAGCACCAGGATTACAAGTGTGCACGATGCCTGGATTTTTATGTGAGTGCTGGGGATTGAACTCAGGTCCTTGGACCCACATACAAAGTGTTTTATAAACTGAGCTATCTTCCCTGTCCCCAGAGACTATTCTCAAATGTCTACTGCCCTCTATTTGAGGACAGTGGCCAATGTTGTCTGTTGTGCTATGAGCATGGCAGAAATTGCTTGTATTTGTAAAGAGTTGTTGTATGATGAAATCAGAGTGCCGAATGTTGTCTGGGACACTTACCACTGAATTAGTATTACAGTCACTAAAGCCCAAAAAGAGTGATGTGACAGGTTTTCATACATTCAAATGGGTATTTCCATTGAAGTATAGTAGATCAGTGCTGGAAGACATATGCATGAAAGCAGTTTGGAGACTCCGGAACCAAACTAACATTTTGTTTCATTCTCCAAGTCATGCCAGGTTATTTTGTTCTGCTTCATAGAGGAATCCCTATCTTGTGTTTTCCCAGGAGAGGCCAAGTGGCTTCTGCAGAGTGGCATTGTCATTCTCCTTCCACATGGCTATGATGGGGCTGGACCTGACCACTCATCTTGTCGAATAGAGCGTTTCTTGCAGGTATGTAGAACACTGTTGGATTCTAAAAAATGTTTTTATATTTCCTAGGTTCTTTGCCATTCCATATATTACCTCCTGTAGATAGTTTCATGTGCACTTCAATTGTAAGATTTAGTAGTTGAGGGCTGGAGAGATGGCTCAGAGGTTAAGAGCACTGATTGCTCTTCCAGAGGTCCTGAGTTCAATTTCCAGCAACCACATGGTGGCTCACAACCTTCTGTAATGAGATCTGGTGCCCTCTTCTGGCGTGTAGACATACATGGAAACAGGATGTTGTATTCATAATAAATAAATCTTAAAAAAAAAGATTCAGTAGTTGAGTGAAACCAACTCAATGCATTGTGACTGTTCCTTCAAAACGTAATGCCTCAGCTTTTATAATATCACAGTTCTGTGGAAAATAAAATGGTTTCTGGAGTCAGGCATGGTTGTGCTCTCAGGAGACTGACTAAGAATGATTTCCTTCAATTTTAGACTAGCCTAGCCTGGGGAAATAGAGGAAGATACAGTCTCAATAAAATAAAATAAATAAAATGGGGATAGGAGGCAGGTTAGAGAGATAGCTTATTAAAATACTTGCTGCCCTAGTGCAAGGAGCTGAATTGCTGAATTTGGTCTCCAGCATTCACATTTAAAAGCCAGACTTGGTGGTGGGGGGAATCAGGCTGGATTTTTTGTTTTGTTTTTGTTTTTTTGAGACAGGATTTTTCTGTGTAATAAATAGGTTTGGCTGTCCTGGAACTCACTTTGTAGATCAGGCTGGCCTTGAACTCACAGAGTTCCTCCTGCCTCTTCCTCCTGCATGTTGGGATTAAATGCATGTACCACACATCCAGCAAAAGCTAGGTTTGTACAAACATAGTTGGTGAGGCAGGAGACACAGGACTTCTGGTGCTCGCTGCCAGTGAGCCTAGCCTAATCAGGATGTTACAGGCCAAGGAAACCTTATTTCAGAAAACAAGGTGGGTGGGTGGCACTTAAGACAAGATCCTCAATGTTTACTTCTGTCCTACTTAGGCTTACACACCCACACACGTATGCACACCCCCCCACACACACATGTTCACCCACATGCATGCATACACATTCATAGGCACAGAATGATTTCAGTCTGGAGTTGTAGCTCAGTACCTACTTTATGAGTGGCCCTGAGTTCCATTCCTGGCACCAGCCACATGATTGGGGGTCTTGGGAGAGAAGGAATCCCAGTGCTGGGGAGGTAGAGACTGGGGAAGCCAGCTAACCTAGCCTAAGTGGTGAGATCCAGGTTCAGTGAGACACTCTATTTCAAAAAATAAAGTGGCCGGGTGATGGTGGCGCACGCCCTTAATCCTAGCACTTGGGAGGTGGAGGCAGGCAGATCTCTGTGAGTTCTAGACCAATCTGGTCTACAGAGCGAGTTCCAGCACAGGCTTCAAAGCTGCACAGAGAAACCCTCTTATGAAAAACCAAAAAAGAAAAAAAAAAAGTGGAAAGTGACTTAGGAGGTCATGCAGTGTTGACCTCTGGCCTTCACATGCACTTGAGTGCATATGCACCACATGTGTACACACTTGCACACTCGTGTGCACACACACAGTAACAAGCACAACAAAAGAATGGGTTACAAAGATAGAAAATGGTGACCAGAAAGGGGAATGCACAAAGTGGAGCTTATGGCGAGAATCCTATTGTTTATATGAAGGATATTATCTTGTGCCATAATCTGTTTTCCCAAAATTCATTCACTGAATTATACCCCTCATCCCAAACCAGGTGATGGAATTAGGAGGTAGGGACATGTGGGAAGACACCATGTATGAGTCAGGGAATGGGCTCTGATCAGACACTAATTTTACTCATGATCTTGGACTTTCCATTCTTCATAAATGTTAGAAATAAATTTATGTTGTTCCTAAGTAACTTGGACTTAGCCAGGAATGGTCAAACATATCTATAATCCTAACACTTTCCAGGCAGAGGCAGGAGGATTAGGAGTTCAAAGCTATTGTTGACTACATAGTAAATCTGATGTCAGCTGGGTTACATGAATCACTGTCTTAAAAGTGTAACATAAAGCCGGGTGTTGGTGGTGCACACCTTTAATCCCAGAACTCGGGAGGCAGAGGCAGGCGGATCTCTGTGAGTTCGAGACCAGTCTGGTCTACAAGAGCTATTTCCAGGGCAGCCTCCAAAGCCACAGAGAAACCCTGTCTTGAAAAACCAAAACCAAAGACAAACAAACAAACAAACCCCCCCCCAAACTTAAAAAAATGTTACACAGTTTCATGGCACTGAGCCTTTGGGGACCATTCTCATTCAAACCACCACAGACTATTGGTAGCTGTGTGTTCAGTGACTAGTAGTGGTCAAGGTCTTATAGCAGCAACTAGCATTGATAGTAAGTGAGCAAAGGCCAGTGTTAAAGCTTTTTTTCTTAAAAAATTTATTTATTTTTAGTTTATGTGTATGGGTGTTTTGCTTGCATGTGTGTTTATAAACCACAAACATGCATTGACTGAAGAGGCTAGGAAAGGACATTGTATCCCTTGGAAATGTAATTATAGATTGTGGTGAGCTATAATGTGAATGCTGAGAATTGAACCTGGGTCCTCTGGGAGAGCAGCCATTGCTCTTAACTATTGAGATATATTGACATATCTCCAGCCCCTATGCCCTAGTGTTATGTTATGGCTTTTACGCTTTGAGTGTCAAGATCTGCATCCCTGAGGTTTTGACAGCTCCTTTCTTATAATAATTGAAAATTGTAGGCACAAGTATTGGCACATGCCTTTGATACCAGCATTCAGGGAGGCAGAGGAAGGCAAATTGAAAGCTAGCCGGGGTTTACAGCCAGGACAGCCAGGATTAGTGAGAAACAAACAAATTGACATTTGTGAGTTTGTGCTGTTTATCTTTATTGCTATCATTTCATCCACTGTCACTGTGGTTAACTCAAGTCCTTTGTTTATATTATTAATTTTATTTTTAGTCTTGCAAAAAGATTCACATATGTAAATGACTTTAAAGAGTTTTATCTGCTCATATAAATGCCTGCTTATTTCTTCTGCTTTCATTGTCATTATGCTATGCTAAGCTCTCTGTGTCATTTGTATTTTCAGCCTTGTCTGGTCTTGACATTTCTTTTTATTAATTAATTGTAAGTATATGAGTGTCTGCCTGCATGTATGTATGTACACGCTGTGCATGCTTAGTGTCATGGAAGCCAGAGAAGGGCAACAAATCCCCTGAAATGGAGTTATGTATGTGCTGGAGCCTGAACCCAGGTCCTCTACAGGAGGAGCAAATGCTCTTAACTACCACTGCACCTCACCAGTACTTGTTTTCTTGGTACTTCTTGTTTACTTAATACCTTAGTAGTTTCAGAGTAGAGTTCTCACTTTGTTTTCTTAGTTTAATGTTCTTCATTATCATCTGACTTTGTTCTGTTCTCTTTAAAACTCTCTGTCCTGGGCTTGGGAAGTAGCCCAGTAAGTAGAGTGCTTGCTATCATGCACTGAAGTCCCAGTTCAGCCCCTGTGCTGTACGAAACCAGGCATGGTTGTATGGCACATGCCTGTAGTCCCAATACTTCGGGAGAGGGGGTGGAAGCAGAAAAGTCAGACATGCAAGGTTATCCTCAGATATAAGTGATTTTGAGGCTAATCTGAGCTATATAAGACTCTGTCTCATCCTCCCCAAAACAAAACAATAGCACCCCCCCCCAAAAAACAAAAACCTCTCAAACTCTGTCCTTGGTCTGCTGTGTTCCCTTTCTTTGTTTTTTTTCTTTTTTCCTTCCTCCTACATGTTATCCCTGTGCTATTTCATTTCATCTTGTTTTGGTTGTTTAGGCCTCTTCAAAGACCTAAATTTTCTGTTCGAGAATGAGTGAATATATATATATATCCTACCAATATATTCTCTTAGAACAATAATTGAAGAATTTTGTTCCTGAGGATGTAACTAGTAATTAACTCTTTGGACTGGGTGTTCTTCTTAGATTATTTCCCACAAACACCCACCTCCATCGGAGATGGATGTCACATCCCTTAGGCTTCTGTGGAACTTCTCTACTAGAGAGGATTGTGCCTTTGACTTAGACTTTTCTCAGGATGCTCCTTACTGCCTTTCTTCTGAGATACTACATTGTTGGTTTTTTTTTTCAATCCCATTTCCATCCATGCACTGCTTCTAAATTAGGTTGGGGCTGGCAGGATCTTCTGAGATTATACATTTGCTCTCAACTTTTCTTTCTTTCTTCCTTCCTTCCTTCCTTCCTTCCTTTCTTTCTTTCTTTCTTTCTTTCTTTCTTTCTTTCTTTCTTCTTCTTCTTCTTCTTCTTCTTCTTCTTCTTCTTCTTCTTCTTCTTCTTCTTCTTCTTCTTCTTCTTCTTCTTCTTCTTCTTCTTCTTCTTCTTCTTCTTCTTCTTCTTCTTCTTCTTCTTCTTCTTCTTCTTCTTCTTCTTCTTCTTCTTCTTTTTTGAGACACGGTTTCTCTGTGTAACAGCTCTAGCTGTCCTGGAACTCACTCTGTAGACCAGGCTGACCTTGAACTCGCAGAGATCCACTTGCCTCTGTCTCCCTAGTGTTAGGATTAAAAGGCATACACCACCACCACCTGGATGCTCTCAATTTTTTAACATGCTTCTTAATTTTTTTTTTTGAGACAGTCTCAGGTAGCCAAGGCTGACCTTGAACTCCCAACCTTCCTCCTTCCAATTCCTGGAATTTTACCACAGCTGACTCAATCTTCATTTGTTTATTCTTTTGTTTTGAAATGTGCACACTACGATTATATTTCACCAAGAGAATGAGATTCTGATGGTGTTTCCTCTTACCATCTTAATCTGACAGTAAACAGCAGGTGGTGGGGTGAGGGAGGGATATTTTGTTTTGTTTTGTTTTCAAGACAAGGTGTCTCTCTGTGGTTCTGGATGTCCTGGAGCTCCCTCTGTAGACCAGGCTGGCCTCAAACTCAGAGATCTGCCTGCCTCTGCCTCCTGAGTGCTGGAATTAAAGGTGTTTGCCACCACCGCCTGACATAAAGATATTTTAATATAAGCTTAAACATAGGCATTAAGAAAAGGGGAGAGGGACTCAGAAGAAAGTAAGACATACCTGAGAATAAGCAAGTCAAATAACTATTGCCTTTAATTTTCTTTATACAGGGGGAGGAAAAAAGGATAGGAGTATAATATACAAAAGACATTTTTTTTGAGACAGGTTTTCATGTAGCTGGGGATAGCCTCAATTAACTTCTGTTTTTCTGAGGATGACCATCAGTATCTGACTCTTTTGCCGGTACCTACCAAACTCATGTGTGGGTACTGGCTGCTCAAGAGAAAGTCATCAGAATATGTTTTCAAAAAAATCTTTCCAGACTTCTTTCAAACAGCCTTGTCTGAAAGTAGCTGTGTTAGAAATGAGTGGACAGAGATAACCCCCTTTCTTTTCTTTGGTGAATACTTTATAGGTCAGAGAAAATGCCTTCTAATACTTTTCTGTTGTACAATGGAGAGAAATACCTTTGCTAACTGAGAATATGTGTGTTTCCCTTTAGCCAGTGGGTTGTGTTTGGGACTAATTTAAATGATCTCAGTGTGCCTGTGTTGTCTATTCATCGCCTCCTAGATGTGTGATAGTGCTGAAGAAGGGGTGGACAGTGACACTGTGAATATGTTCGTGGTACACCCGACTACTCCTGCTCAGTATTTCCATGTGCTTAGGCGACAAATGATCCGGAATTTCAGAAAGCCTCTCATCGTTGCTTCTCCCAAAGTGTTACTTAGGTACCCTGTAAGTAGAAAGAGCTTGCTCATAGGTTTTTTTTAACCTTGTATTCTATTTCTCTGGTGTTTTGCATTTAACTGTATTTATTTTAAGTTTAAGTTTTATCTGGTGTGTGTGTGTGTGTGTGTGTGTGTGTGTGTGTGTGTGTGTGTGTGTGTGTTGTGTGCAGTAGCCCTCAGAGGCCAGAAGAGGTGTTGGATCCCCTGGAGCTGGACTCAGAGGTGGTTATGAGACAGTCAGCGTGTGTGCTGAAACCTAAGCTCAGGTCCTCTGGAAGAGCAGCAAGTGCTCTTAGCCTCTGAATCTGTCACTCACTCTCAAGCAGCTGTTTTGTGCTTTCTCTATGGTTCCTTCAGTATTCTCAGGAGCCTTGAGATGTCACAGGAAATTCAAGAAAAGTTGTATAATCCCTTTAGGACTGGTTGGTGTGTGTGTGTGTGTGTGTGTGTGTGTGTGTGTGTGTGTGTGAGAGAGAGAGAGAGAGAGAGAGAGAGACAGAGACAGAGACAGAGACAGAGACAGAGACAGAGACAGAGAGAGACAGAGAGAGACAGAGAGAGAGAGAAAGAGAAAGAGAAAGAGAGATGGTGTTATTGTTTTATTTTTTCTGGAAGGGCTCTTCTGATACAGATATTTTGAAACAGAAGTCTCAAGCCAAGTCAAACTGTAAATTACTACAATGGTCAGCTGATTCTGAGTACAAAAGGAGAGGCAGGCGGATCTCTGTAAATTCCAAGCCAGCCTGGTCTACACAGTGAGTTCCAGGACAGCCTGGACTATATAGTGGGATACTGTCTCAGATAACAAAACAAAAAAACCAAACCAAACCAAACTGTCGTTTGGTAGAGACAAAGCATGCTCTTATCATTTTGGTTTGAAATACACAGAACAGTTTTTTGGAGAACACTGTGTTAGTGCACATGCTTGAGTGCAATTCTATGCCAGAATTCTGGAGCTGTTTTTATAAGGTCTGATCTAAGTTACAGCTATAGTTCTTCTCCAGTCATTGACGTGAGTATTGCTGTTTCTTTACTGTAGGCAGCTGTGTCAACTCTTCAGGAAATGGCCCCAGGAACAGCATTCAAACCTGTCATTGGTGATTCATCAGTAGATCCAAAAAAGTAATTTGATGTTTCTTTGTCTCTTACTCTGGGTAGGGTTTTTTTTTAAATAAATGAACAAAATTTCTTATATCATGTTATAATTTTTCATGTGTATGTATGTGTCTGTGCATACATATGAGGGATTGAATATACTTGCCTTACCATGCTAGGCAAGTATTTTACCGCTGAGCTACATCTCAGCCCCTCTCCTTATAGGCGTGTGTTAAGAGGAGTGTGTATGAAAGAGCGGACTCTGGGGACAGATGTTGCAGAAGGAGAATTGCAGGGCTCGGCAGATGACTGAACCCAGCAGCAGAGCCCCAAGCAGCTTTATTGCAACACAGTGAAATCTAGTCGCCTCTTTCTTCTGACACAATTCTTAAGGATCTTTCTGTCCACACCATTGCCTGCTTTGTCCCCAACAGTGTTAAAACCCTCATATTCTGCTGTGGCAAACACTTTTATGCCCTGCTGAAGCAAAGAGAATCTTTGGGGACCAAGAAGCATGACTTTGCCATCATTCGAATAGAGGAACTCTGCCCTTTCCCACTGGATTCGTTACAGCAAGAGATGAGCAAATACAAACACGTTAAAGGTAAAGGCTTGTTTCTGTTTTTCAGATACTTGAAGCCTGTTCACACTATTTCAGATGGAAAGAGGTGGGGGCAGTGAAAGGTACTGGAAAGTCAAAACTCTTGGAATCCAACGATATGTTTTGGAGTATCACTAGGGCCATGACTCTCTTGGTGTCCCACTCAGTCTTCCCACTATCATTAAACATAATTTCTTGAGAATTTGTGGGTCATTGGTTCTGTGCCATTGTATGTGATAATTGCAATATAATTGTAAATGATAAAGTACTTAGGATCGGAAAATTTGATATCTGTATGTACCACACAGAAATTGATTACAGACCTAAGTGCAACTGTAAAACTATTAGGAGAAAATCTCTATGAACTTGTTTGGATGGAAAGTTTTTAGTGTATTATCAAAATTGGGCTTAATCAACATGAAAACCTTACATTGTAAAAATTATTGTAGGGGCCTGGAGAGATGACTTGGTGTTTAAGAGCACTGACCGGGCTTCCAAAGGATCTGACTCAATTCTCAGCACCACATGGTGGCTAATGACGAACTGTAACTCTAGTTTCAAGGGATCTGACTTCTTTTGGCCTCTGAGGACACCAGCACACATGTGGTGCATAGATATACACGCAGGCAGAACACCCATACCTCAAATATATTTAAAATACAAAACAAAACACATATCCCATAAACCGAGGGGACAAAGCAACTGGAACCCCCACTCACCACTGCTGGCATTGTTAGTGATTGCAACAACTCTGAAAGATGGTTTCTTACTGTATAAACCCTGATTTACCATGTAACCCAGAATTCCCACAGCTGGTTTACCCAGAAAATGAAAACAGGTTCACAGGAAAATCTACCTACAGGTATTTTTAGCAGCTTTATTTGTAATTGCCTCAAGTTGGAAACAGTCAAAGTGTCCTTCATCTAGGGAATGAATAAACACAGCTCCCCTCTAGCAAGAAACGTGTATATTATACTCAATAAAACAGGAAATAGGGCCGGGCGGTGGTGGCGCACGCCTTTAATCCCAGCACTCGGGAGGCAGAGGCAGGTGGATCTCTGTGAGTTCGAGACCAAGCCTGGTCTACCGAGTGAGTTCCAGGACAGGTTCCAAAACAATACAGAGAAACCCTGTCTTGAAAAACCAAAAACCAAAACCAAAAACAAAAACCAGGAAATAGGTACTATATGTTGTGCAGGGCCTCAAGGATGTTATCCACAAGAACTTGGACAAATCACGAATGCATTTTGGTAATACACATCAGACTCAAAAGGCGACACACTGTCCAACTCCATTTATATGGCATTTTGGTAAAGGTGAAACTGCACAGTAGACAAAAGACTGATTGTTGCTGACATTTGGGACTCAGAAGTGTACTGACTGCAAGCAATCACAATGAGGAGACTTGGGGTTGAAAGAACTGTTTGCATCATGATTGCTCTGGTGAACACAAAACTATGTACTTGCCAGAAAGAATGGAAAAAAGGAAGGAAAGAAGAAAGGAAGGAAGGAAGGAAGGAAGGAAGGAAGGAAGGAAGTACGAAAGCAAGCATTAGGAGTTAGAGGTGGCTCAGGAGTTAAGAGCCCTTTCCAGTATCTATATTGGTGGCTTACAATCACCTGTAACTCTAGTATCCAATGTCTTTTTCTGGCCTCCTTGGGTACCAGGAGCACATGGCATACATTTATACAGACATGCATACATACATATAATAAAAAATTTAAGATGTTAACATGTTGGAAAATTATATATTTAATTGAAGTTGCAAATTTATCTATTTACCATTCATTCCTCTCCACTTCTTGGTATATAAGTTTATATGAGGTGCTGAAGTAAATTTTTTCTTTTTGTAGATATTATTTGGAGTCAGGAGGAGCCTCAGAACATGGGACCATGGTGTTTTGTTTCTCCAAGGTTTGAAAAACAATTGGCCTGTAAGGTGAGTGCCCATTCTTATATATCCATCCATCCATCCATCCATCCATCCATCCATCCATCCATCCATCCATCCATCCATCTTCTCTTTCATTTCTCTTAGGGTAACTAGATATGGGTTTTTATTACCAGCTTGCCCATTTATTTAAAATTAAGCAAAAACCTTAGTGGCACATGCCTATATAAGGAGGTTGGGGTCACTTGAGCTTATGAGTTTGAGATCAGCTCAGGCAACATAGTTGCATTCCAATACATAAAGAGGAAGAAGGAACAAAAAGGAAAATCTAGTTTTAGATTATTTCTTTGGGAGAAATGTTAAGTTTATGGAGCCATCTATGTATTCAGATTACAGGGTTAAGTCTTACTTGTCCAGAATGTTTAGAACTGGAAGTATTTCAGATATGTGAGATTTTCAGATTTTGGAGTATTTATGTACACTTTCTAGGCTGCAAAGCTTTAAAAAAATTCCAAAATCTGAAATGCCTCACATCTGAAGACTTTTTAAGGACTGAAATGATATTTTCAAAATTCCAGAGTTTGGAGAATTTCAGATTTTGGATTAAGGATGCTTAACTGTAACCGTATGTTATAAATGTGTTTACATTCCAAAAAAACTATGAACATTGCATGTTGTTACTTTTCTTACTATTTCCCCATAGTGTCTAGTCCAATTGCCAGATGTTGGCACTCTTCCAGACATGTTTATAATACTATTAGACTATATGTCTTTATTTTCCTCAGGAAAGGAGAAACAATGAGAGTAGTTCTACCTCTGTTTGTCTTATTATTCTATGTGCATTGGAATATAGTTCATTCATTTAGTATGAGTTTGCTAGGCTAAAATCATTTTCACATGAAATACATTTAGTTAAAAAAACTACAGTTAAGATCAAAAGATAGATTTTTTTTCACTTTATCATGCCTGAAATTCAGGGGTACATATTACCCTCTAATCTGTTCTCTTTAATTCAATATTTCTTCTTGGCTTGAACAAGCTAATGGAGAATATATGTACCTTCTTGATGGAACTGAGCAGAAACTCCGATGCACTCAAAATGTCATTTGATTCTTCCTTGCTCCAATGACAGCTCCGACTTGTGAGCCGGCCCCCTTTGCCGGCACCTGCAGTGGGAATCGGCACAGTGCACCAGCAGCAGCATGAAGACATCCTCACCAAGACCTTCGCTTCATGATGTGCTTTGAGAAAACAGGGCAGCCTTTTGAGCAAAGTGCTGTAGAGGAAACCTTGCTTCCTCCCCTGTTTCTCCTTCCCCCTAGCTATCCTGGAAGTCCGTGGAGTGACTGGGACAACTGACTCTGGAATAAGTGAAGAATAAGCGGGAAAACTGATGTTATGAGTAATGAAACAAGATAGTAGATTTTATGCTTTGCAGGACAATAGTGTTTGTTATGCTTTGATTATATTTGAATGAACTAGAAAAGGAGATGACTAACCATGTATGGAGCTGTGTATAGGCAATGTATAGGCAGCTCCAACACTACTATTTAATTAGTTTAATGCACATAACTTTTCTTAATTTCCCCCTTTTTAGAGTCCTCTGAACAGCATTTTTTTTATATCATCTCTGAGCCACTCTTCGTAATGTTCCACCTGATATCAGTAAAATTGACCCTCCTGATTTGTGTTCTTTCAGGGTTTATCCATTGTCTTTTACTTACATTCTGTTAAATACAAATTTCTGATTGTATGATCTTCTAGCCCTGTACTGAGACAGTGTCTCATGTTGTCCAGATTGGCCTCATACCCACTATGTAGCTGAGGATTACCAACTTTGAACTTCTGATCTTTTTGCCTCTACTTCCTGAGTGCTGGGACTATTTACTTGTGCAACCATGCCTGGTTAATGCTGGTGATGATGATCAAACCTACAGTCCCGGTCCTTAATAATCTTTCAATTATAAGGTGTTAGCTGTATTAAAACTGAATTGTAATTTATTTTTACCATTAAGTTCCCTCTCCCTCATTATATTGCTGTGACATTTTCTAACCCCACCCCCTCCATAGCTTTGGAACCTGTCCTGGAACTCACTCTGTAGACCAGCCAGACTTAATGCACAGAGATCTGCCTGCCTCGGTTGGGACTAAAGGTGTGTACCACTGTCCAGAGACATTTTCTAACTTTTTAATTAACTTTTGTGTCTGATAGTTGGATTTTAGTATCAGGTTAATCACTTTTCTGTCTAAAAGTTCCAGGTAAAATTATGATGAATGTTTGTGCTATAAAGTATATTATTTTTTAGCTGTCTTCCCAAAGCCAGGTACTTGGGGTTTCTTAGAGGTCACCAAGTGAGCCATTCCGTTTGGACTTAAGCCTAATGTTGGAAGCAAATCTAAACAGTAGCTGTGTGGCTTCATTTGAGTTGGTTCTGAGGAGCATCTACCATGTACCATTCTTGCTTTATGATACTGTTTTTGTAAGGTGATGGGGACACATGAAGGACTAGAATGCATCTGTTCCCTTTCCATGTCTAATGGCAATGGGTCATGTCTTAAATCATTAATGTATGGGCAATTCTAGCTTAGTGATAGATTCATAATGTACATCTTTTTGTTGGTTTGTTTTTGGTAGATTCTCACTATGTACTTCTAGCTGTCCTGGAACACAGATCTCTCTGCCTCTGCCTTCTGAGTGCTAGGATTAAAGGTGCTAGGATTAAGCACTATGCCAGATCACAGTTTACATTTTAAAATAATTCTTTGGTGTACTTATTTAACATTTCTTTAGTATTTGTTTCCCTTTTCTGTGACTCTCCCCCTCCATTCTTCCCTCCTTCCCTCCCTCCCTTTTCTCTGGATCTGGGTATCAGTTCTAGAACCTTGTAATTATTAGCTCTACCACTAAGACAGTCCTTCAACCCTTTACCTCCCTTTCCTTTCTGTATTCCTCAGTCATTCCTTCTTGTGTCAAGGCTTATAAATCATGTAATTTAGTGCTACTTATTTAAATCAGTAAAATTTCAAAGACCTGTTGAATAAGAATAACAATGGTTCTTAAAAGACTTTAAAACTCTAATTATAAAATAAGATGGAAGTTAATATATTTAAAAATATTTTGTCATTGGGCTGGAGAGATGTTTCAGAGGTTAAGAGCACTGGCTGCTCTTCCAGAGGTCCTGAGTTCAATTCCCAGCAACCTCATGGTGCCTCACAACCATCTGTAACAAGATCTGGTGCCCTCTTCTGGTGTGCAGGCAGAATGCTGTATACTTAACAATAAATAAATAAAATTTAATATATATATATATACATATATATATATATATATATATATTGGTTTTACGAGACAGGGTTTCTTTGTATTATTTTGGAGGCTGTCGGTCCAGCCTAGCCTCGAACTCACAGAGATCTGCCTGCCTCTGCCTCCCGAGTGCTGGAAAAATATCTTAAAAAATATTTTGTCATAGTTGGGCAGTGGTGGTATATGCCTTTAATCCCAGCACTGGGAGGCAGAGCCAGGCAGATCTCTGAGTGCAAGACCAGCCTGGGCTACAGAGGGAGTTCCAGGACATCCAGGGCTGCACAGAGAAACCCTATCCTAAAAAAATTAAAAAAAGGAAAAAAATTATCTTGTTCTTTCTGAATTTTTTTCTTAACAATGTACCTCACAAGTTTACTATTTCGTGTTATGGTTTTACCTACATGAGCCATGAAAGTATGTTCTGTCTCAACCACATTTTGTTTTGCAGAAAAGAACATTTGAAGAATTTCAAATCAGACATACACTATTGTATTTTATTCCTCTTCAAAATGTGATATTAGCCTCTCATATTTGCTATCCATAATTATGCTTGTTTAATGTTCAGTGGGGAATAGAGCTGAAATTATGTAGTTTGTAAGTTTAAATATTAATAACCATGGGAGAATTTTAATTTTGATTGAAATGATGTATTTTTCTTAGTAAAATAAAATTTTCTACCTTCTCTAGTTTGCCTATAATATCTTGGAAGTCTTACTACTTTAAAAAAGATTTATTTGATTTGTGTGTGTAAGAGAGAGAGGGGGCGGGGAGGGTCGAGCTTGTGAGCATGTGAATGCAGGTTCCTGCAAAGGCCACAGTTCTAGATCCCTTGGTGCTACAGTCACATAGTTGTAAGCAGTCAGATGTGAAGACTGGGAACTAAGTTTGAACTCTCCAGCTACATTTTTAAGATTCTTGAAATGTCAATACAAACAGATTTCTTTTATAAAATGGATGGAAGTCACAGATTATGAATCAGTGCTTTTAGTCTTGAAGTTCCAAAAGCTTCCTGTACATTTCTCTTGGATATACTTGGATGTTTAATTTTTATGTCAGCTTCTCAGAGCTCATTCTACATAAAATAAGCATGTTTTGAGGGAAACGTTAGTATTATCACTATCTTCTCTTACTCATATGGATAGCCAGATGTATTAAATGAACAATAGTTTAAAAAATAAAGTTATTTCATCAAGAAATATTCTGTTGGGCGGTGGTGGTGCACACCTTTAATCCCAGCAGAGGCAGGCAGATCTCAGTGAGTTCAAGGCCAGCCTGGTCTACAAAGTGAGTTCCAGGACAGCTAAGAGTATACACAGAGAATCCCTAACTCAAAAAACAAAAATAAACAAACCAAAACCAGAAATATTGTATTGGGTTCTTCTACTTATATCATTGTTTTTATTTTGCCTTAGAAATACACAGAAATAAAGATAAGGCTTTGGTCCTTGACAAACTAGCAGTCTGTGGATAAAAAAATAGTTTTGTTTTTTCTTTTAAGACAGTGCTTCCCTGTTTAACCCTTGGTGCCATGGCACTGGGTATGTAGATCAGGCTGGTCTGATCTGCCTCTGCCTCCTGTGAGCTGGGATTAAAGTGTGTGCCACTATGTCTGGTAGGAGTGACTATAGATGTAAATTACCTGTCCTGATCCCCTGCTCCCAAATAACCACTCAGAGTCTTAATATAAATTATAAATGCTCAGCCAATAGCTCAGGCTTATTACTAACTAGCTCTTTCAACTTAAATTAACCCATATTTCTTATCCAAGTTTTACCATGTGGCTTATGGCTTGTTACCTCATTTTCATACATTTCCTGCTTTCTTTGGCTGACTGGCCCTCTTCTTCCAGAGTCCTCTGTGTCTGGCTGTCTGGCCTATACTTCCTGTCTAGCTATCTGCCAGTCATCTTTTTATTAAACCAGTCCAACTGACAAATCTTCACAGTGTATAAAAGGATTATTCCACAGCAAGGGACTTTTTATTTGTTTTGTTATTTTATGTGTGTGTGTGTTTCTCTTAATGTACATACGTGTATTGTGTGCATGATTGGTGACTGCAAAGGTCAGAAGACAGCATTGGATCCCCTGGGATAGAGTTATGAATGACTGTAAGCTACCATGTGGGTCCTGGGAACTTTTCTACTGCTGTGATAAAAGCAACTTGAGGGGAAAGGGGTTTATTTTACTGTACAGTTCCATATCATAGTCCATCATTGAAGGCAGTCGGAAAAACTGAGCCTTGAGGAACCTAGAAGCAGCAAATGGAGCAGAAGCTCTGGATGAATGTTTATAATTCTTTTTTAAAATTCTCTCATATATTACATCTTGACCAGTTTCCCTTCCCCTTCCCCTAGTCTCCCCCCCAACTCCCCTTTTTTCAGTCTTACCTCCCAGGGACATCCACCAAAGGTGGCAAAATATGCTATTGTAAGACCAGGCACATACTATAAAAATCAAGGATGGATGAGGTAACTCAGAAGGAGGAAAACGGTCCCACAAGTAGGCAAAGGAGTCAGTGACCACCCCTGCTCCCATTGTTAGGAATCCCACAAAAACACCAAGCTACTCATCCCTAACATACATGCAGAGGACCTAGGTCAGAAACTACAGTTTCTTGGATCTCTGTAAACCCCCATGAATCCTGGACAATTAATTCTGTGGATGGTGTTCTCTTGGTGTCCCTGACCTCTCTGGTTCCTCCAATCCTTCTTCCATCTACCCTGCCAGACTCCCAAGCTCTTTAATGTTCAGCTGTGGGTTGCTGCTTCTGCTCCCATCAGTTGCTGGTTGAAGCCTCTCTGGTCTCTTTGAGAAGGAATGTTTCTCAATGGCTTTGTTATCCTGGCTTTCTCAGCCTGCTATCTTATAGTGTTCAGGACCACAGTGGCATTGCCCTCTGTGAGCTGGTGTCTTCCACATCAATCATCAATGTAGAAAATTCTCCATAGGCATGCCTTCAGGCTAATATTATAGAGACATTTTCTCACTTGAGAGTCATTGTCAAATGACTCTAGCCAGTGTCGAGTTGATATAAAACTAGCCAGCATAGAACTGAACCCAAGTCCTGTCCAAGAGCAGTAAGTGTTCTTCGATGTTGAGCCATCTTTCCAACCCAAGAGATTGCCTGGGTGGATATGCTAAAACAAATTGAAGACTAAAGGTAGAATGACATAGATTAGGTAACACATTGGTCAAAGAAATTTTGGGTGGCATTTAGGAAATACAGAAAGACTGAAGAATAGTAGAGGAATTAATTACTCCATTTAATCTGTGGAATCAATCTTTTCTTGGCGTACATGAGATTCTTATCTCAAGAAAAAGAGGAGGAAGTGGGGGATGGGGATAAGAAAAACAATGACTAACAAAGTAAGATGAAATATGGATGGGAGATTACTCAAGGTATTGTAGCTTTGTCACACCCTCTCCTATAGATGGCATCTTTTCTCTTTTCTCCCAGAATTTGAGTAGACATTTCTGGCTGCCTCTATACACTGAATAAATGAGACTCATTTCCAGTGGCTTCCTTTGGCACTAAGTTGCAGTGTTGTGGGGAGGCCCAGTAATGGGAAGCCAAATGGGTGTGTCAATGCTCACAGTATGCAGATGGCCAGATCTGAGTGAGAGAGTCTTAGAAAATGCAAATACCATGAGAAACTCCTTTCAGGCCTCTGCAAGACCACCCTAAAGGTCCCTACCCCCACTGCAGATGCTTCTCTTGTTTCTTTCTTGGCTATAGTTCTGAACAGGAGAGCATATCTTTGGATTTGATTGATGACTGACAGTATAGGATGTCACCTTCGAGTCAACTTGTTGCAGCAGACTTTAGAACAGAGACTTGATTTTGGGGTGTGGTTTAATGTTTGAGTGAGGAAACCTAGTCTGAGGGTCTTCTTGTATACTAGTGTCTCAATTTATCTTTACCTTCCATACCCACATGAAGTGACCGCTGCTGTCTATATTTTGTCCAAGTATTTCATCTGGGTTGATTGCCCATTCACAGTGTAGGGCTGGTTGATTTCTTACAGTGTGTGTGTGTGTGTGTGTGTGTGTGTGTGTGTGTGTGTGTGTGTGTGTGTGTGCGTGTTTTAACCACATGCTGTGTAAGAAGGCACAAATTGGAAAGGTAGGAAGAACCACCAGAGGGGTCAAAGAACTGACTTTAGCGAACTCCTTCAGTCGCAGGAGACATAAAACCTTGATGTCTGTACTTTGGATATAGGGGAACGAGCATGGTAGTAAACTGGAGAGTACTTTTGTAAGCTATTGTATGCAGTGTGTCATCAATTTTTACAATCTCTAAGAAGTTACAATTAAAATGGGGCAAAGGAAAAGGCTGGTTCTGGCAGCTCAACCCTAGGCCTCAAGGGACCAACAGAATGCCTGGACAAGGAAACCTAATCTGGGAAAACCAACTCTGAAAAAGGAAAAACCCTGGGTCCCCAAGGCCTCAGGGAAGAACTGGAATTGAGCAGGACAACCAAGACACGCCCACTATGGCAGGTAGCCCCGCCTCTTGGCGTGCAGCTCCGCCTCTGTCGCCGCGCCCGCGGTGACCATGGCAACGCGGCGGCCGTAGTCCAACGGTTGGGGCCAGGTCTGGGGGCGGGTCTGGGAGGAGCTGAGAGCGCGTGTCACATGACTCGTGGGCGGAGCCTTGCGGGGACGGCGAAAGCGTGTCCCAAGCCTCTTGCCGCTTAGGCCAGAGTCGTGAGGAACTGAGCGAGAGCAGCTGCGAGGTGGCCGGTCCTTGCCGGGTGTCCTGAGCCGCCGCCATGGGCAGTGAGTGTGGTGGCCCGAGCGGGAACCTCAAGGGTCGCGGGTCCCTCAGGGCTATGGGCAGTGGAGCCGCTTCCCCCATGGGGTCGTCACAGCGGCCAAGGATGCGCAGGCCTCGCCGGGGTCGCCGCGGATGGCACGACCTGGGGGCCTCCGCCAAGTCACCTCCGGTCAGCGAGGCCTTGCCCGGCGGGTCACGGGGTCCCAGAGGTCCCGGTTTGCGCCCCTTAGGCGGCTGGGAGTGTGGATGGCGCCGAGAGGCCATTGGCTGGGGGGCGGGGAGTTAGGACACTCCTTAGCTTGGACCACTCGGGATTTTTCTGGATCTTAGGAAGCTTTTTTTTTTTTTTTAATTCCTCAATCACGCTTCCTTGGCGTGTTGCGATGAATACGTCTCCCTCATTTTTTTTTTAATGTGATTCATTGCATGTGTTTTAGGGGAGGAAAGGCATGTGATCGGTAGCTCAGCATTTTCCTTGAAATATTCATCCCAGTCATTCTGTAGTGTTAATTGAAAACTGTAAGTTGGTGCAAGCCGTAGGGTCGAGGCCTCGTATTATGGGAATCCTTCCAGGGCCCTGGCCCAAACATTCATTCTCTTATGTATTCACACAAATATTTACCTAGCAGTTTACATGTTTGTATAAAGGGATACCTCACTGCAGGTCCAAGCGATGCACCCAATTGGCCAACTGGTAGACATTTGGAAAGGAAATAGAACAGACCCTTGGCCTTGAATTACGAATGATAAATGGAATTCTCAGGGTAGGCAATACATGGCGGCACGCAACAGCATCGTTTGAACCTGGACACCAGTACAGTAAATCATAAAGTGGCAAGAAATCTTGGAGGGTAGCTTGAGAAAGAAAAGGAATAAGGAGACTCTGGGGCGTTTCCTGGTGTGACCCATAGATTTTTTTTTTTTTTATTACAGGTGAATGTTTTCAGAATTTAGATATACTTTCAAAATAGTCTAAACCTGTACTTAGATAACAAACATGGCAATTATAAATTCTCACCTGCATCAGTGACTTCCACCTCTGTGAATCCAGCGGGACTTAGGAGATAGGCCTGTCCCTAAACCTTGGTTTATCCTATTTTATTTTACTTCAGAAGTGGTGTGGGAAAGCAGTAGTTTCTAATGACGTGTAATTGCCGTTCTTGGAGGTGATTCTTGTATGTAAATACTTTGATAAGGTTACTTGGAGAATGACCAGGCTGTGAATGTGGTTAACTGAAATGAAGTAGAGTTTGTAGGCTTTAAAAAGTTGCCTGTAGGAGATCCTGATTTTGTGTTTTTGCTTTTTTTTTTGCCTAGTGAATGTTGCTATCTTTAAGCTGCTTAAATCAATACTTCAGGTTAAGCTCATTTCCTACTATATCATCCCTGGGAAAGGTTCCCTCTGTTCTACTATCTGCTAGTGCATTGTCAAAGTAAACTGCATCTGCTTATTTTTCATAGTGGTGATCTGAATGTTTACTGTTGTGTATATATACATAAGGATTGGGTTTAAGCACAAAGAAGCAAAGTCATGGTTCATTACTTACTTTCCTTCATTATTTACTCAGTAGCCATTTGGGTGTTTTATCTCTTGCAGGCCTACTCCTTTGAACTTGAGAACATCATGATTATTTAATTTGGGTGGATGGGAGAAACAGCTGTTAAAGAAAATTTGTTTTTCAAACCGTTCAAAGATGCATTTTTAAACTTGATAACTTTTTTTTTTGCAGTCAAGTTTTTAGAAGTTATCAAACCTTTCTGTGCAGTTCTACCAGAAATTCAGAAGCCTGAAAGAAAAGTAAGTATAATATTTTAGTAATATAGCTGGTAACAAAGTGAATTACTCAGCCAAACCACCAAGGTTTATTTGTTTACCCCAACTATTTCTGGATAAGTGGAAAAATGTTATTTCTCTTGCAAACAACTTCAGGGAATGGATTCTCTTCTTTCACCATCTATCTGGACGGGGGAGGTAGGATTGGACCTGGCCTGGGCTTTTAAAAATCCCGAAGCTCACCCCCAGTGACACAACTCCTCCAACAAGGCCACACCCCATAACCATTCCCAAAACAGTTCTACCAACTAGGGACTAAACTTTCATATATATGAGCCTATAGGGCTGGCCTCTTTTAAAACACCACAACTATCTGGCTGGCCCTGGTTAATAGACCTTTTTAAGACTAGGTAGTATTCTTATTCTATCAAAAATGTTGCTCTAAGTTATGATGTTTCCAACCCAAGTGCTTCTTGGCCTGTGTGTTAGGTAAGATACGATATTCTCCTGGCCACGTTGGTATTTTATAATTTCTTTAGTATACGATGTGTATATTGCTAGCTAATGATATTAATCTGCTGAGTGTGTTTTGATGAGTACCAACTGTTTTACATAATAAATTACAATTGTGTAAGTATATACCTCCCATATTTTGAATTTTTGTTTGGAAAGAAATATTAGGAATGTGTTTAGAAGGTATCATACCGAAACCACATTGCTCTTCAATCATTGAGCATATTTGGAATTGGGATATTTAAAAATTCAGAAATAATATTAATTCAAATTTTCCAGCTATCAGGTATCCTCTTCCATGCTTTTAATATTATCCCTGGGAAAGGAAATATTAATAACCAATTAGGAAATTATTAGGAAATTAATAACAAAATAGGGACATAGAGAGTGATAAAGCTTTTGTTGGACTTACTGTTTTATTTTGAAGTACTTTTAATTTTTAATGATTTGAGATGGTAGAGATGGCTACCCAGTTTTACTTTAGGCATAATCAAAATTTTCATAGTTTGTGAATATCTTAGGATTCCTGTGTAAAGTTGTTCAGTATTTCATGCAGTTCCCTTTCTGATTGGAATGTGCATTAGATCTGCTTTACCTTGCCTCCTCTTCAGTTATTTTCCCTTATACAGAGTACATGAAGCATGGTTTTTGTTTTGTTTTAAGACATGGTTTCTCTGTGTAGTCTTAGTCCTGACTCTGTAGACCAGGCTGACCTCAAGCTCATAGAGATCTACCTGTCAGCCTCTGCTTCCTGAGTGCTGGGATTAAAGCCATGCACCACCACTACCTCTCAGTCATGAAACATGTTTATATTTATCTTTTTTTTTTGTGGCAGCACATGGGTTCTAATTGGACATAAAGACTTAACTATTATAAGCTATAGTCAAATCTTTCTAATTTCATAAGTACCAAGTGGGTCAAAAACCTTAATGTAACACCTGGAACTCTGAATTATGAGAAGAAAGACTATAGAGAAAGCATCTTAAGATACAGGCATATGTAGAGACTTTCTGGATGGAACTCTAGTCACTCAGAAGATAATGTCAACAGCTGACATGGAACTTTCATGAAATTAAAAGTTTCTGCACAGCAAAGGAAAAAGCATGCAGAGACAGCATACAGAACACGAAAACTCCTCACTGACTGTACAGCTGACTGAGGATTAACATCTAGAATATACAAAGAACACAGAATACTGACAAATAATACCTTTCTTTTGGAAAAGAAGAGACTTAGGTTTGATATGCTTGGCTGTTTATCTTAGCTGGAACAAGTTAGGGTGTATAAAGAATAGGAGCATACCTAATGGGGAGTGGTAATGGCGCCTTAATGAGTTTTGTTTGAGTTTGTTTTTCTTGGTTTTGATTGATCATTAATTTTTGCTTCTGTTGTACAGATTCAGTTTAGAGAGAAAGTACTATGGACTGCTATAACACTCTTCATTTTCTTAGTGTGCTGTCAGGTATGTACCAGATTACTGAATATATGTCTGTATTATTTTAAGGTCTTGATTAGAAAAACTGATAAAATAATATACTGAAATATATTGAGTGCTGCCTTTTTTGGTAAGATTTATTTTTATTTGTGTGTGTGTGTGTGTGTGTGAGAGAGAGAGAGAGAGAGAGAGAGAGACGAGAGAGAGAGAGAGAGAGAGAGAGAGAGAGAGAGAGAGAGAGAGAGAGAGACAGAGAGACATGTACAGTTGCCCATGGAGGCCAGAATTGGGTGTCAGATCCTCCACAGCTGGTGTTATAGGTAGTTGTGAGCTACCAGTAACTAGTGTTGGTTCTGAGAATTGAAATTGTGTCCCTTGGAAAGGCAGCAGGGACTAGCTTTTTTTTTTTTTTTTTGAGCCATCCCTTCAGCTCTGAGTTCTGCCATTTTTATTTATTTGTTATCTGGGGATCCAATCCAGGGCCTTGTGCATGCAAGGCAAGTACTGTATGACTGAGTTGCATTATAAGCGGGGCATAATTATTATTATTGTTAGTACATTGTTTGTATTTTGGGTTTTTTGAGATAGGTTTTCTCTGTCTACAGTGTTTCAAAGCTGTCCTGAAACTTGCTTTGTAGACCAGGCTGGCCTCAAACTCAGAGATCTACCTGCGCTCCCCCAAACCCCCACTCCCATCCCTGACTGTCCTGGAACTTGGTCTGTAAACCAGGCAGGCTTTGAATTTAAAGATCATCCTGCCTCTGCATCCTAAATTGGGATCAAAGGTGTGGGCCACTATATCCTAGCTTTTTTAAAAAAATACTGTGTGTGTGTGTGTGTGTGTGTGTGTGTGTGTGTGTGTGCTTGAGCACGTGTTTGTGCATGCTTGCCTCATACCATGGCATGTGTGTGGAGATCAGAGAACAGTTTGTGGGAGTTGATTTTCTCCTTTCACTCCATGGGATCCAGGAATTAAACTCAGGTTGGCAGGGCTGGTTGTAGGTGCCTTAACGAGCTGAGCGATCTTGCTGCTCCATGTATGTTGAAGAATGAAATGTTCATTAAATGGTCATTAAAATACTTATGCTACTGTACTTGATTTAATGTTTTCTTTAGTATAAACACACACACATAGAAAGTATATATATATATATATAAAAGCAAGCATTTATAGTTCATCCCCCCATTAAAAAAATCTAGGGAGGTATATGTACAAATAGTTTTAACTGCACATTCTGAAGTATTTTGGCAGATGTATACACCCAAGAAGCTAGTACAGAACATTTCTGGTACTCTCAAACGCTCCTTGTAATGCTTCATCCACTGTTCCTTACCCCCAGTCCTAGGCAAGCCTTCATCTGCCCTTTATCACTATGATTTGTCTTTTCTAGAATTCCACATATATGTATGTAGTCAGGGTGTGTAGACTGTATAATATTTTTGAGATTTATTCTTATCAGCAGTTTTTGTTTCTGTTGTGTGAATATGTCACTGTATTCACTTATCCATTGACATTCTGTTTGTGTGCAACTTCTGGCTGAAACAGGTTGTTGTGAATGTTTGTGTACAAGACTTCCTGTTCTCAGGAGAACGTGGCTAGGATAGTGTTGCTAGTCTTGCATGGTAACTGCTCAGTGCTCTTTGCCTGTTGTGCACCCCCAGTTGAGACTCCCGTGTGTCTTTGTGCTAAGGTTCTGTTTCTTTTCTTTCTTTCTTTTTTCTTTTTGGTTTTTTACGAGACAGGGTTTCTCTGCCTCTGCCTCCCAAGTGCTGGGATTAAAGGTGTGCGCCACCACCGCCCGGCGGTTCTGTTTATTTTCAACTAGCTCATCTATTGTGAATAGTTACTGTCCTAATAGGTGCAGTTTTAGTTTGAATTCTCTTGGTAAATGATAGTGAGCAATGTTTTTGTGTGTGATGAATATTTGGTGAAGTTTCTTTTTTGTTTTGCTTTTTTTTTCAGAGCCAGGGTTTTTCTGTGTAACCCTGGCTATTCTGGAACTTGCTCTGTAGACCAGGCTGGCCTTGAACTTAGAGATGTGCCTGCCTCTGCTTCCCAAGTGCTGGGATTAAAGGCAGTCCCTACCACTGCCCAACATCAGTGCTTATTCTTGAGAGGGGTTTCTATATGTCTGGCCAGAATTCATTATGTAGACTAGTCTGGCCTAGAACTCACAGAGATCTGCTTGTTTCTGCCTCCTGAGTGCTGGGATTCAAGGTGTGTATCATCATGCTCTTTGCATTTTCTTGATTGATATGGGAGGGCCCAGCACATTGTGGGTGGTGCACCATGAGGCAGGTGTTCCTGCATGGCATAAGAAAACAGAACAAGCCAATAGTCATAGCTCCAAGACCTCTGCTTCAGTTCCTGTCTGAGCTCCTTCTCTGACTTCACCAGATGATGAAATAAACCCTTTCTTCCCCAAGTTGATTTTGAACTTGGTGTTTTTTTCACAGCAATAGACCCCCTAAGTAACACAGGGAATATGAGTTATTAATGCCATAGATGGATAGAAAGAGATGCAATAGCATAATGGGGGCTGTGAGGAGATTTGAGGCCCCAGCATCAGAGACAGCATGGTGGGTCTCTGAAGAAAGGAGTCATCCCACATGACGGAAGTATGGGTCTCTTCTTATACATTTCTGAGAATGGGGGATGCTTCACAGCCTGAGCCTACAGTCAGCCTCTGTTATTCCCAAGCAGGAGACAGGAAAGAGGGTAAAGAACAAGATGTGTGGCTATCAGTGCTCACTTTGATGTGAATTTACTTCTCAGGCTAGAAAGATGTTGGCACCTGGAAGTCTGTTAGCTAGGAACTCAAATGTCTCAGTAGGATGGATGCCTGCTGGTATCTATGGCAGGGGAATGCAGCTGGATACATTGTGTTTGGAGCAGCTGCTGGATTCTGACATTCCATTTTACACTGATCAGGTAGGAAAAGTCCTGCAGCTTTGTTTATTGAGAAGGACCAGCTCTAGGTCCTTTATATTTCCATAGAGACATCTAGAATCATTATGTGTATTTTTGTAAGAAAGTCCTTTGGGAATATATGTATGTGCTGCTTTGCTTTTTTTAGGTCAATTTATGAGAATTTTAAGGTTGATTTATGAGAGTTATCTTAAATATTGAGTCTTCTAATATAGGGGTCAGCAAACTTTAACCTGTAAAAGTACAGATAGGGAAGTTTTGGGATTTAAATCATTACCCAGGTCCCAAGAAGGAAACATAAAAGAATGACCTCCAGGCCTAGTGTCATTGGCCTGTGATCTTAGCTACCCTGGAGACTGAGGGGCTTAGTCAGCTGGACAGCTTAGAGAGACCTGTCTCTAAAGTTAAATGATAACAAAACATAAAAACACTCCCTCTCTCCTGACTCCTTAGGGTGCTTATGTAAGGTAGACATATTCATTATTCCATCATAAAAAATACTCTTCCCCCCAACAATTTTTACTAGAAACCAGTGCTGTTTCTCAGGAGTGTCTCATGCTGTGGCACATTTATGCCTTTGTGTTACCTAGTTTCCTTGTGTTTATATAATTGCTAAGTGGCTGCTTTTTGTGTTTCTCACGTTTGAGCAGATCTGCCCAGTGTGGGTAATTTCAACTGAACATAAAACAAGTTCTAGCCAGTTTTCTCTAGCTTGAGGGAATGGTGGGAGGTGAGATAAGCTGAGATCATTACATTAGATGCTTCCAGAATCCTGCATTTTTTTTTTCCGGTCTGTCTTGAGCTTCTTACCACCTTGCTCTGGAGGTTTATATTCCATTCTAGTTCTGGTCATTCCTCAGTCCTCAAATTTAGCATAGCCCCATAATCTTCAGTTCCATCCTAGAGGCTCACCCTCATCGATCAACTTCCCTCCCTCCCTTCCCCCCTCTCCTCCCCTCTTAGCTGCTGCTTCTATTTCCTCTGAATGAAAATGAAGAATCAAGCTATCTGTAGTTTCCTTTTCTCAACATTTGGAATGTTAGTGGCACTCTGGGGATTGTTAGCTTCACATGGTAGTTGGTAGGCAGCTGTCTACTGATCTTCAGTGTGCTGCACCATGGCTATTAGTGCTTTGAATCTGTCACTTTTTTTCTTGTTTAGTGGCTGCATTAGTTGCTCTCCTCTCTGTGACAACAGACTTCAGAGAAGCAACTTAAGAAAGGGATAGTTTCCTGTGCTTGAGGGTTGGTCCATGTGGCAAAAGGGTGGCTGGTCACATTGTGTCTGCTGTCAGGAAGCACAGAGAGAGGGAGGGAGGGAGGGAGGGAGAGGAGAGGAGAGAGGGAGAGAGAGAAAGAGAGAGATGAATGCTGATGCTGAGCCTGCATGATCCCTTGACCCAACCTATGAGGTCTCCCATTTTCAGGAGGGCACTTCCTTCTTCAGTTAAACGCCTTTGGAAATACTTTGGTATACATATTCAAGCTTGTTTCTTAGGTGATTCTAAATCCTACCAAGTTATCTAACAGTCAGGCTAACTGAACAGCTGCTTTGGAGATGTTTTCCTTTTCTTATGACTTTATTTTGGATTAGCTTTTATTCTTATATTGTTTATATTTTATTATGTGTCAGGGGGGAAAATTCTGTAATGTAACTGCAACTTGCCATCTTGTTCATTTTTAGCACTAGGGGTGAACCCTGACCCTTGAGCATACTAGGCAAATACAAGCCCATTCCAGACCTGCAACTTGCAGTCCCATCCATTTTGGCTTTCCACTGCTTTTGAAGATTTCTAGTGTTCATTTTTCTGTATCTCCATATGGTTATTAGTTCAGGTTTCCATTAGAATGTGGAGTGTTTGGGTTTTCCAAAGTACTGTATTATGTTAGTAATTTGTCAGATTTGCTAAAAGAAAGACTTTACAGAAAATCAATTTAGCAACTTATTTGAACGTTTAAGGACTCTGACAGCACCAGAGGAAGTATAGATGGTTCTATTCCAGGGGCCTTAGATAGGGACTGTCCCTTTCGTGCTAATGGGTTCCTACACAGTGACTTCGTTCCTCCTCACTTGTCACAGATTCAGGGTGCACACAAACCAGCCGTGCCTTCTGCACTACCAATTCTGTCACCTAGCTTACTAAGAGTTCAAATATTCTAGAGATTCAGTTATTTGAAATTTCTGGCGGCATATTTTGGAGCTTAAAAACTTTTTTTTTTTTTTTTTTGGTTTTACGAGACAGGGTTTCTCTGTATTGTTTTGGAGGCTGTTGGTCCAGCCCGGCCTCGAACTCACAGAGATCCGCCTGCCTCTGCCTCCTGAGTGCTGGGATTAAAGGCATGGGCCACCACTGCCCGGCGCCATCTCCTTGGTTCTTAAATCAGGGTTGTGGTCATTCTAGTTGGTGAATAATCTCAGTTTACAAAGTCATTCCATGTCTTGGCAAATACATGTGTTAATTTGTTAGGAGTATTTTTTTTAATTGTGGTGAAAAAAATGACTAAATTGATCTTTTTGCTACTTTTAGATGTATAGCACTGTTAGGGGTATTCCTCTGCACTTACAGGAGTATTTACTAAGTAATGATCTCTGGTGTTTGTTAGAGAACTTTAAGCTTGTTTTACTAGAAATAGCTAAAAGGCATTGTAGGCCAAGCAAGTGCATTTTAAATTAAGAGTGTCCTTGTTGTTTCATGAAGTGTTCTCTATGATGTTTCAGATTCCACTGTTTGGGATCATGTCATCGGATTCTGCAGATCCCTTCTACTGGATGAGAGTTATTCTTGCATCCAACAGAGGTATGCACTCTGACCCCCGTCCTGCCATCATTAAGCAGCTGTTTTGTTTTTGTTTTTTTTTTTTTTTAACGAGACAGGGTTTCTCTGTATTGTTTTGGAGGCTGTCGGTCCAGCCTGGCCTCGAACTCACAGAAATCCGCCTGCCTCTGCCTCCTGAGTGCTGGGATTAAAGGCGTGAGCCACCACCGCCCGGCTGTTTTGTGGTTTTATATGGGCAACTAGAACAGAAATCCATTGCTTAGGAGGAGAAACCAGCTTGTAATAGTGACACTAGGTTTATTGTGTGTGTGTGTGTGTGTGTGTGTGTGTGTGTGTGTGTGTGGTCACGTGTGTGTACAGTGAAGGTCAGAGGTTGATTAGTGTCTTTCTTGGTCACTCTCTACCGTATATATTTTGAGACAGTGTCTCACTATGTAACCCTGGCTGGCCTGGAACTCTCAGATCTTCCACTTCTGTTCTGCCAATTCTGGTGGTCTAGCTAGTTAGTTTACTCTATACAACCCATGTCTGTATCCTGAGAGCTTGGATTACAGGTGGACCACCACACCAGCTTGGTGTTTATGTGGGTGCTGGAGATCGGAACTCTGTACTCAGGCTTGTGCCACAAACTCTTACCCACTGTGCCATCTCCTTATTAAAATCCCATGTTTGCAGTGTCGGGAGGTGATGCACTGGACCATGAGGCCTCTTACATTTCAGAAATGGTGATTGTATGTTTGGGGGAAATAATTGAACAGATGGTAGGGTTTTTGGTAGTTTTTTAGATTATAGGAGTAATATTAGTTCATTTACTTATTAAAATCGTGTGTGTGCCAGGCATTGGTGGCGCACGCCTTTAATCCCAGCACTCGGGAGGCAGAGGCAGGTGGATTTCTGTAAATTCGAGACCAGCCTGGACTACCAAGTGAGTTCCAGGACAGCCTCCAAAGCCACAGAGAAACCCTGTCTCAAAAAAGCCAAAAAGAAAAAAAGAAAAAAAAAATCGTGTGTGTGTGTGTGTGTGTGTGTGTGTGTGTGTATCTCTATGCTCCTCCATGCTCACACACATCACAATGAGCATGTGGAGGTCAGAGGACAACTTCGTGGAGCTGATCTCTCCACATGGGTTGCAGGGATTGAACTCAGGTTGCCAGGCTTGGCACAAAGCCTTTAATCATTGAGCCAAATCACCAGCACCACCCTCTCCCTTTTTCTCCCCCAAATTCATTAACAGTTTCATATATTCTGGTCACACTCATCAGCATCCCCATTTCTCATCACTATTAGCGACATCCATCAAGTCCCATCCCATTTTCCTGTCTCTTTTTCTTCTTCCGTTAGCTTATTTTTATGTTTATTGGTGTTTTGCCTGCACGCATGTCTTTGCACCACATGCATGGCTAGAGCCCACAGAGGCCAGCACAAGATCCTCTGGAACTGGAGTTACAGATAGTCATGAGCTACCATTTGGATACTGGGAATCAGACTGGGGTCCTCCGGAAGAGCAGCCTGTATTCTTAATGCTGAGCCGTCTCTCTAGCCCTTGTTTTTATTTTTGTTTTGTGACCTAGTGGGCTTAACCAGGGCATGGTTGTGGAGCTGTCCACTGGAACTGAGTAAATTATCGTAGCAACATGACCGAGGACAAATGTTCAGTGGCTCAGTCTTGTGCAGTCTGTTTATAAGCTCTGTGTCTGCTATGGGTTAGCGAGTGCCATGGCTGTAACATGCGCACTACAGCATTTCACAGCCTTTCTCCCCATCATTCAGCTCTTCTATTCCGTCTACCTCTTTTTCTGAGATGTTCTCTGAGCATTGGGATGGTGGTGGTAATATGGTCCTTCCCCTGAAGACTGAACACTCAGTTTTCACTTGTTTTCAGCACATTGGCTGAGTATACTGGATTATTTTAGGCAAGTACTCTACCTATACCCCACCTCTGTTCACTTTTTTTTTTTTTAATTTTGTGTTGCTGGTGATTAAATACTAGGTCCTTACATGTTAGGTGGCATGCGACCACAAAGCTATGTTATATCGCATTACTTAAAACTAAAAATGTATTTGTGTATGTGTGTATGTGCGCTTGCATGTCAGTGTGTATTTACAGGTCGGAGAACAACTTTCAGGAGTCAGTTTTCTCCTTCTACCATGTGGATCCTGGGAGATGCACTCAGGTTGTTGGGCTTGGTGGCAGATGCCTTAGTCATCTTGCTGGTCCCAACCTCTTAGTTTTTACATTGTTTTCCTGCTTTGAAGCTGGATATTGAACCTAGAGCCTCATGTTCTCTACAACTTAGCTGTACCTGCCAGCCCCAGAATGCTTCTTTCTAAAAAGACTTAGTATTTTGAGTTTAGAATTTATATAAATTAAAATTTTATAGTACAACACGTTTTATCCATTGCATGTTGCTGGTTTGTTAATAAATGGTATTTTATTAATGTTTAACAATGGGAATTTGTTAATATTTACACATATTTTATTAAATGTTATTCAGGACTGGAATGTTTTAAATTGATCTGTACTAGTTAGGTACAGAAGTTGTTTACGTATTTTCCTTCCTTTACAGGAACATTGATGGAATTGGGTATTTCCCCAATTGTAACATCTGGTTTGATTATGCAGTTATTAGCTGGAGCCAAAATCATTGAAGTTGGTGATACACCCAAAGATAGAGCTCTGTTCAATGGAGCCCAGAAACGTGAGCAATAATATAATTAAGGAGCTTTTTCCAAATTTGAGGGTGTTTGTGGGAAAGATGTTTCCTCTAGTTTTTTGGTTTCGTTGTTTTTTTATCTTTGGTTGTAAGCATGTACTCCTTTTTTTGTCAGTATTTGGTATGATCATTACCATTGGGCAAGCCATTGTGTATGTCATGACGGGGATGTACGGGGACCCTGCGGAAATGGGTGCTGGGATCTGTCTCCTTATCATTATACAGGTAAGAAACTCTGTGTTTTCCTATGCTAATAAAGCAGGTTGGTCCCTTTTTTCTAGCACTTCTGTAGGTGAGTGACATAATCATTTTCTTCAGAATCATTTTAATTGTAGTATTATTACTGAAGTGACATACATGTTGTGTTAGTTTAAAAAAAAGTTTATTCTAAAAGCTTCATAGTCTGTCACTTAAAGACTTAATGGATGCCTCTCTATCCTTGTTCTCTGATACGCCTTTCCACATTCTGATGTCTCTGAAATCCTGATTTATTCCCTCGGTAAGCAGTGCATTTCTGCTGTTGCTAGCCAGGTGGCAGCAATGGGACATTCAACACCCATGTGTGGCTGTCTGCTTGACCATAGCTGCTGAGATGAACATTTTAGCTGTTGGTTACTTTATGCACTGTTGGTATAGTAGATGTCTGAGGTTACTTGTGGGCTGAAGTCACTTCAGAAAATCCCCATGGTGGTATAACTCCCAGTCCAAGTTGTTTGGGAGGCTGCAGGGCAGTGTTCTTGAACCACAATTAAGAGACAAGCCTGTGCAACATTAAATTGTTATCACTGAAATGAAACAGCTAGTTACAGAAAATACAGTAATAACAGTTTGAAATAACCAAATTGGTTGTAATAAGATATTTTGTTGTAGTTTAACTGGCAAGCTTCAAACTTGTAATCCTCTTGCCTCTACATCTTGAGTGCTCAAATTTTAGGTGTGTACTGGGGCATCTAACAGTGTTCCTTCCTTTCTTGATGGAATACAAAATTATGATCTAAATAATTTTAATGTCTGAAAAATACCATATATACTCACATAAAAGTGTTCTATGGAGGTATTTATTTACTTATCTATCATCCATCCACCTATATCTATTTATTTGAGACAATGTCATATAGCCTGGACTGGCCTCAAACTCAGTATGCAGCTGAGGATGACCTTAAGTTTCTGTTCCTCCCACCCTAGCATTGTCCATATGCTATACCATTATCTGGTTTGTGCAGGACTAGGGATTGAACCTCGAGCTTTGTGCATAGCAGGCAAGCTGCCAGCTTAGCCACATTCCCAGCCCTTCATGGATTTCCAAAATGGAAATTTTAGGATAGACCAACATAGTTTTGGCTGTATACAATGTTTAGGAGATTTTTTTCTTTTTAAAGTTTTAAGTTAATAAAATGTGTCTATTGGGGTCTTGGTTACCATGGAAATTCATTTTATCTATTGTATGAAATCAGAGTTAATTTAGGATTTTTTCAGGGTTAAGGTTAGTTCAAAAGATAAAATTCAGAAAATATTTTTAAAATAGTCTCAAATGCCAGTATTTGAGAAATATCACTATCTCAGATGTATATAGTTTACCTATTTTCAAAAAATTAAACCTTATAAGAAGCAGGTCAAATAAGAAAGCATTCAGTGAGCCTGACCCAGGGCAGAGAGTTAGATTGTAAGTGTCTGTTGACATGATTAATAAGGATGGCCTCTAATGGGTTATAACTATTTTGTCTGTGTTCTAGGGCAGGATTTTTAATGAATTGTTGGGTCTTTGGTAACTTGCTGAGGCCTAGTGTATTCTCTTCCAGCATAAGATGTGTATCCCAAGAGAATAACAGTTCCTTTATTTCTCCATTTACAAATCACTTGCTTGACATAGCCATTGGGAGTTGGAGAAGAAAGAGATGCAGAGGATGGGGAGAGAAGAATTCTCTGGACAATGACTTTAGTATCCTTCAGTGCTTAGGATTTCTTCATGTGCTGCTGCAGTGCCGAGGGTGCAGCTGATAGCACAACATGCTTCTTTTTGTTTGTTGTCTGTCTTTAACGTGGTGCTTCTCAACCTGTGGGTCATGATCCTTTGGGGGTTGAACCACCCTTTCACAGTGGTCAAATATCAGAAATCCTGCATATCAGGTACTTAATTACAACTCAGAACAGTAGCAAACTTTCGTTTAGGAAGTAGCAATGAAATAATTTTATGTTTGGGGTTACTACAACATAAGGAACTGTATTTTATAGCCACAGAATTAGAAAGGTTGAGAAGCACTGCTTTTTTTGTTGCTTTTTTTTTTTTTTTCTTTTTCCAGACAGGGTTTCTCCATGTTAACAGTTCTGAAACTCACTTTGTAGACCAGGCTGGCCTCGAACTCACAGAGATCCACCTGCCTCTGCCTCCTGAGTGCTAGGATTAAAGGCGTGTGCCACCAATCCCCTGTGAGAACCATTGCTTTAAAGTATTTGCTTTATGCAGCAAATAAAGTTTTATGGGTTTTTTTGTTTTGTTTTAACTTTTGTTTTCTTTTGGAGTTGAGGATTGAATCCAGGGCCTTGAAAATGCTAAATATGCACTACTACAACAATATTCCTTTAGCATAAAGTAGCCTTGAAACTTTTTTTTTTTAAAGACATTCAGAACTAGTATCAAGTGCTCAGAACATTTTGTACCAGTGTAATTTGTCTTGTACCTTCCAAAAGCTAGACTTAGTGTCACGGAATGTAGCTTAACAGCTCTGGGCTGGTTAGGTGAGTTGGATTTTAGAGCAATCTAAGCTATTTTAATGCCTTTTGCACATGCAGCAATCTAATTATATTTCTAAAATGAAATGAACAACTATATATTAGCTTGTTGACATGAATTCTGGTGTATAAATATCTGTGTCGTGATGAATTCTTTTAGTGTCTATGGATAAAATAATGTCATATTTGATTGTTGATGGGCAGTGGCCCATTTGTGTCTTTTCAAGGAATTGCTAACATTGAAAATATGTGACTACACTGAAGAGCTATGATTGGATCAGTGTGTATTCACCTAGAAACATAGGTTTTTGAAAACTGTTTGCATGCTGTTACAGAAGGTATTTCTCACTTTGTTTTTGTTTCACTCACATAGTGCTCTTTTCACTAATTGATTTTGAAATCTAAATTGGGTCTTGATTGAAATTAAAAACTAAATAGAAAGTATGATTGTGCATGGCACATAGTAAAGGTAAGTATGCTTTGTCAAACTAAGTGGTTGATATCCAGTGGGATTTTACACCCATTCAGAGGTTCATAGAGTGCATTCCACATGTATACCTGGTAACGGTTCTATTCTTACTGGGCTTCATGGACATGCTGCTGTCTTTTCTGCTTCCTCTTCCTCTTTCACAAGAATGCATCGTATTTTACTGTCTCTTTTCCTATTCTCCAAATTGTACAAACTATTTCTCATTTAGAATCATTTATACTTCCTTACTCCTCCTGGGAAAAGATGAGTCTCATTTTCAAAGGGTATTCATGAAGTGCTCTGTAGGCCAGTATTATTCTGCACAGGGACCTCAGTTATTGTGTCCTTGGACAGGCCATCTATCAGAACCCTGACTGGCTGATTTGTGAGTAGGCACTCTCCCTTTTAGTGAGCATAGGTTGCTGTATTTGTGACTGGGAGTAATCAACTTGGTCATTAACTAATTGTGGTTAAAATAAAACACAGCCCTAACTTTTCTCTTACTTTGTCAAAATGTCAAACTTGATTTTCAAATAGTGAAAGGTTTCTATGAGCTATCTTACGGTTTTGAGAATTAGGCCCCTTTTTCCAGTTGTTTGAGAGTCAAACTAAAAACTTTATAAGACTTTGTACAACCACTGAAATAGCTGTTTAAAAAACAAAACAAAACCAAAAAACTAGTGTATAAGGTAAGCATGCTCAAATGATATAGTGCAGTTTGACATGTTCCTTGACAGGTAAAGTGTGTAATGCGGGTGGGCTGTTTGGGCTGGGAGGAAGTGGATATGCTTCCTTGTTTCTGTAGAGGAGTGTGTAGAGTAGGGACCTGTGTGAGCTAGTAAGGCTCACAAGCATGCCTTATTTCCCTCTCAGTAAGGTTATTCTAGTCAGGAAGGAGTCACATGACTGAAGCTAATGGATTGATTTATTGATACATGTTTTTATAGATGTATCCTCTCCAAGGATAGCCATAAGCTAAACCTAGTATGCTTTTATTGAGTGGGGGCAGGGGGGAAGAAAGGAGCTAGAAAATACGGTGAAATCTTTTGATTTTTTTCGAGACAGGGTTTCTCTGTGGCTTTGGACACTGTCCTGGAACTAACTCTTGCAGACTAGGGTGCTCTTGAACTCACAGAGATCCACCTGCCTCTGCTTCCCGAGTGCTGGGATTAAAGGCGTGCGCCACCAACGCCCAGCTTATGCTGAAATCTTAACTTATCAAATTTATATGCAATCTTTGTCATAAAAAGTAAAGCATGAATTTTTATATTACAATTTGTATACATAGTTGTGCTGTAGTTTTTGGCTTATTCTATATGTATTACATAGAAGATATATATGTATAGTACTTTGTAAAATGTGCCAATAGGGAGTGAAGAATCTTTTAATTTTTATGTAATTTATTTGGCCTTTAACTTATATGAAGGTATTTGGAATATTTTGTTTCTTCCTTTCAAATTCTAAGCTGTGATTATTATTTAGTGCCTCCAACCATGGGCACAATTTAAACATTGTAAGGGAAACTATCCAGCTGGCATAAATATTATTCTGAGGTGAAATGTTTGCTATATAATGAGGCAGTACTCCTAGTCCTTTGATTGTTAGAATTGGCCCCGACTAGACAGGAACAGACCAGAAGTGCAGATTCCACAGTGGTGAAGAGCAATGCTTAGGTCTGACATTGGGGATGCACAAACTGTGAAATAGCCATTCGTCTGCCCCTTCCTGAGTTTATTCTTGCTTCCGCTTACGTGCATTTCTTTCCCCACAGTTGTTTGTTGCTGGTTTGATTGTGCTGCTGTTAGATGAGCTGCTACAGAAGGGTTACGGCTTGGGGTCTGGTATTTCCCTCTTTATTGCCACCAACATCTGTGAGACCATTGTCTGGAAGGCCTTTAGTCCCACTACCATTAACACTGGCAGAGGTACATTGCACAGTGACTGCAACTGCACGAGTTTTGCTGGGTGTATGCTGAAAATGAGTCTATAATGCGGCAGCACATGCCTGTAGCCACTCCAGTTTGCTACCCTAGGGGACCACGAATGCTAATTGTTTAAAACTTAATGAGCAGAGATGTATGAAGTATGCAGTAGTAAGCCCAAAAGAGTGCATTCATTCTAACCTCTGCTCCTTTAAAGTTCCAGTGGTTGCAAACAGTATTACAATTTTGTTGACCTTGCTTAAGCCATTGCTGCCAGAGTCATTTACTTCCCCGATTGCAGCTTTCCCGGAGGGACAGAAAGGTAGTGGATTACTGTTTGGCCGTCCTCTGAGAGCACTCATACCCTTGCCTCTCTAACTGGCTTTGTAATAGCACCTAAGGTTTGAAAGATTTCATTCTGTTTTCCCCGTATTCCTTTCCTAACTAGTCAATGTCTAACTTTGATCCCAGCCTTAAGTAAATAGTACTGATAATTTATTAACATTCTTGGTGCAATCAACTAAAGGCAAGCATCCCCCCTCTGATTCTGACATTTTTATTCTGCTTTGCTGCTGCTTTTTATTATCCCTAAAAGTACTTCCTTCCTTTCCCTAAAAGAGAGGCAAACCTTTATGAAGGACAATTGCAGATTTATGTTGAAATTTGCCTCCATGATAGAAATACGTTAGAACCCACACACATGGCTGTGCCATACAACATACAGTCGTGAACTGGTAAATTAACTTGAAGTTCAAATTATTTGTGTAGACTTTTGAGGCAACATTGGAAGAGGCATCCACAGTTCATTTCTGTCTTGATTTTTCAGGTACGGAGTTTGAGGGTGCAGTCATAGCTTTGTTTCATTTGTTGGCCACCAGGACAGACAAAGTCCGAGCCTTGAGGGAGGCCTTCTATCGGCAGAACCTCCCCAATCTTATGAACCTCATTGCCACAGTTTTTGTGTTTGCTGTTGTCATATATTTTCAGGTAAGTGTAACATTTTCACTAATGGAACTGCTTTTTTTTCTTGTAAAAAGAATGCTGTTTGAAAGGATGGTGTCTAACAAGTCAGTTTTTCAAGGACCAGTCAGCCCTAGTTTGAAGGTGGAAAATATTGGCTATAAAATAGAAAAAAGGGATCTGTGGGGAGGGAATACATTTTATTGCTGCTTTGTCAACTCTGCTGCAGCCTTTCCTCTCTCTGCACTTCTGACATGCAGTTCCTCTTACTCTTTATTTCATTTTTAGGGGTTTCGTGTTGACTTGCCCATTAAGTCGGCCCGGTATCGGGGACAGTACAGTAGCTATCCCATCAAGCTCTTCTACACATCGAATATTCCCATAATTCTCCAGTCTGCCCTAGTTTCAAACTTGTATGTCATTTCCCAGATGCTGTCTGTTCGATTTAGTGGCAACTTCTTAGTAAACTTACTAGGACAGTGGGCTGTAAGTATGTTTTTTTTTTATTAAATATTTAAAATTTGTGTTTTATAGTTGTATTTTTAACTGAGATAGTGAAGCATTTTGAAATTTATCAGTACTGTTTTGTTATTTTGAAAATTTGGTAAATGTTCTAAGACTAAGATTGGCTAGGTAGTTTTTAATATTTTACTGTATGGAAAGCATTTTCATATATCATTTGAATAGCTTTTTAGGCTAAAAATCATAGTTGCTTTCACAAAAGTGATTTTGTTTTGTATTCTTTGTTGCTTAGAGACATGGTTTCACTCTATATAGCCAGGCAGACTAGGCCGTCTTCTTGCCTCAGTGTAGCCTCTGTGAGGCACTGTCTGTCCTGGAACTTGCATTGTAGACCAGACTGGACTCACAGAGATCTGTCTACCTCTACCTCCCCAGTGCTAGGATTAAAGCCTGGCTTGCATGATTACATTTTTTAAAATTATTTTTTATGAGCATTGATTGTTTTTTGTGTGTATATATGTCTGTATGAGGGTGTGAGATCCTTTAGAGTTACAGACAGTTAGTTGTCATGTCATGTGGGTTCTGGGACTTGAACCCAGGTCCTCTGGAAGAGCAGTCAGTGTTCTTAACTGCTGAGTCGTCTTTCCAACCCTGCAAGATTGTTTTCTTAATACTACAAAATGCAGTGGTCATCCCTAGAGTTGAAAAACATTACAGATTCTGAATGTAGTCAGATTAATTATAAATTGTATTTCTGTCCTCCAGGTGTTGTAGATCTATATATTTTTTTTAATTTTTTTTTTTTTTGGTTTTTCGAGACAGGGTTTCTCTGTATTGTTTTGGAGGCTATCGGTCCAGCCCAGCCTCGAACTCACAGAGATCCGCCTGCCTCTGCCTCCCGAGTGCTGGGATTAAAGGCGTGCGCCACCACCGCCCGGCGTAGATCTATATTTTTAAAACTCACTCTTCTGTTAATGATCCATGCAAAGTGTCTTGGACAAAATAAAGTACTTTTGAAGGAATGAAAGATGCAAAGTTAACTTCTTAAATTATATAGGCTGATTGGCTGTAGGTGTTTCAGAACATCATGGGCTGGTGAAATGGCTCAGCAGGTAAAGATATTTGTTGTGTAAGTAGAACACTGAGTTTGATCCCCAGATTCCATGAAAAGGTGGCAGGAGTGAACCAGTTCCACGAAGTTGTCTCGAGACCTGCTCATTTGCACTGTGCCATGCATATACCAACCCACAGGCATCATATACACTCACATAATGAAAAAGCTTCTTTTTTTAAAAAGTTAAATCATCATTATGACTTTTGAAAAATTCAAGTATATATATTATGGCCATGACATCTGTAGTCTCAAATACAAAGGAAACTAAACCAGGACATCATTTCAAGAGTTTGGGGTCATCTTGGGCAACATAGTGAAACCTTATCTCAAAATGGAGACAAATCTTAAGGTTTATGGTCCAATTCATTGTATGGCACATGCTTGACATTCAAGGCCCTGGGTTTAATCCTTGGCAACAAACAAAAACCCTAGTCTTCTCAATTAGGTATGTTGACATTTTATTTTCTTATTTGATAGGATGTCAGTGGTGGAGGACCTGCTCGTTCCTACCCTGTTGGAGGCCTTTGTTACTATCTGTCTCCTCCTGAGTCCATGGGTGCCATATTTGAGGATCCTGTCCATGTAGTTGTATATATCATTTTCATGTTGGGATCATGTGCATTCTTTTCTAAGACATGGATAGAAGTCTCTGGTTCCTCAGCCAAAGATGTAAGTATGTGACTAGTTAAACATACTTTTGTATGATTTAAGCTTTAGTAATGGATGGAACTAGAAAAAGCCATCCTGAGTGAGGTAACCCAGGCCCAGAAAGACAAATGTAATATGTAGTCACTCATACGTGGATATTAGACATAAAGCAAAGGATAACCAGCCTACGGGCACAACCCCAGAGAAGCTAAGTAACAAAGAGGACCCTAAGAGAGACATATACAGATCAGCCTAGGAAGGGGAAAAGACAAGATCTCTTGAGTAAATTGGGAGTGTGGAGGGCAGGGGAAGGTAGGGAGGGAAGGGGAATGGGGAAAAGATGTATAGCTCAATAAAAAAAAGGCAAAAAAAATGAAATAAAACAAAAACTTTTGTGGGCCTGGAGAGATGGCCTGGGTTCAGCTCCCAGCACAATTAACACCTCTCTGTAACTCCAGTTTCAAGGTTTCTGATAAGCTCACACAGACATACATGCAGGCAAAACACTAATGAACATTAAAAAAAAAACGAAAAACAAAAAAAACCTTTTGTAAAAAACATAGTATTTTGGTGCCAAAATATGTTACTTTTATAATTTTTTTTTTTGAGACAGGGTTTCTCTGTATTGCTTTGGAGCCTGTAGACCAAGCTGGCTTTTGAACTCACAGAGATTCTCTGCTTCTGCCTCCTGAGTACTGGGATTAAAGGTGTAGGCCACCAATGCCCGGCTTACTTTTATAATTTTTAGTTTGTTTATATATTCTTAGTGAGACATATGCCTAACAGGCTAAAAATTGGTTCTTCTGAACTTTTACTGTGGCTTTGTGGTCCTCTAAAACTCAGTCCTACTCAAAAATCTCTTTTTCATGGTATTGGTGCATGCCTTTAGTCCCAGCACTTGGGAGGCAGAGATGGGCGATCTCTGTGAGTTTGAGGCCAGCCTGGTCACAGAAAGAGTTCCAGGACAGGCTCCAAAGCTACAGAGAAACCCTGTCTCAAAAAACCAAGAAACAAAACAAAACAAAACCCTCTGTTTTCTTTAGTATTCAGAACCTTTTTACAGAGCTAACTAAAAAAAATGATTAGAGTAGCCAGGTGGTGGTGGTGCATGCCTTTGATCCCAGCACTCTGGGGGCACAGGCAGGTGGATCTCTCTGATTTCAAGGTCAGCCTGTTCTACAAAGGGAGTTCAGGACAGCTAGGGAGAAACCGTCTTAAAAAAACAAGTAACAACAACTAATGGTGAAAGTAGAGATGTAATGTATGGCTAGCATATGCTTGGCAGTGATACAATACTAGTGTTGAGGCTCTCATACTTTCAGTATGGAAAGCAACACAATGTGAAGAGTTTAATTTCAATTTTCTTTTCGGCCAGGTGGCTAAGCAGCTTAAAGAGCAGCAGATGGTGATGAGAGGCCACAGAGACACCTCCATGGTCCACGAACTGAACAGGTAAGCTCACAAGGCCATTTCTTTTTACCTCTAAGGCTCACTGCTTTATTCAGACTCATAGTTGTCTACCCTTCACAAGAGAAGTAAAATTTAACTGAAACTTAATTGTTCTCTACATAAAAATTGGCCTTTTATAATCTTTTAAAATTTATTTTTTGGAAATATCATTTTCCCCTTCTCTCCCTCCAGTGTACTCCCCGCACTTGTCTCTCAAGTTCACAGCATCTCGCCTTTTTTCTTCTCTCCCTCTCTCTCTCTCTCTCTCTTCTGTATACATATCCATTCCTAAATATAAGTACAATCTGCAGAGTCTTATAATGTTACTTGTACATACATGATTTTAGAGGTGACCATTTGGTGTTGGATAACCAACTGGGGCTCTTCCTTGGGGAAGGCTATCTTCTCCTGCTCCCAGTCTTCTTTAGTTGCCTATGGCTGTTTGTTTAGGGATGGGGCCCCTTCTGTGTTAGCATATCTACTGGTGTTGTCCTTGTTCAGGTTTTGTTTAGGCAACCTACATAATTTTAAATTGAAAATGTGCTTTCATTGCTTACCCCAGTGTTAAAATAATACATAATCAGTAGTTCTCAGTGTTGACTGGCTGCACATGAGCCACCGGAAAACTCTAAAACACTGGCACCCTTACATTCAGGAAATGGGATCTGTTTGGGGCATCAGGTCTTTGGTGACAGCTTTATTGAGATAAAATTCATACACCATTTAATATATCCAGTTGAAATATATAGTTCACACCTTTAACTTGAGCACTTTGGAGGCTCAGTATTACTGTAAGTTCAAGGCCTTCCTGGGCTGCTGCCTAATGAGTATCAAATCAGTACAACGAAATCCAGTTGTGTGTACATTGCTTATTTGTTCAGCAGTTTCTTGAACTGGCACTAGCTAGTGTTCCTATCACCCTTTTGTTTTTCAAGATAGGGTTTCTCTATAGCTTTGAGCTTATCCTGAAACTTGTCTGTAGACTAGCTGGCCTCAAACTCACAGAGATCACCTGTCTCTGTCCCTAGTGCTGGGATTAAAGGTGTGTCACCAATGCCTGGCATGTTCCTATCTTAAATGATTTTATGTGTATGAGTGTTTTGCCTCTGTGTATATATATGCTTGGTTTGAAATTTATTTTTTACCTTACAAGAGGGAACTTAAGGATAGCTGCTTAAGAATACTACATATTTTAGCCAGACATGGTGGCATATGTCTCTTTGATCTTGAAACTCTGGAAGTGGAGGTAGGATGAGCCAGCCCTCATTACATGAGATCCAGTTTAAACAAACAAAAATACTCCAAATTTTAGTCAGAAGTGATAGTGTTAATGTAATCTTAGCACTTGGAAGCTGAAGCAGATGAATTTCTATGAGTTCTAGGCCAACTTAAAGATATAGACATGTCTAATATATATTATATATACTGTAACATGCAAAATATATGAATTATAGAGTACATATTTTTGCAAATGTACACATAAAATATATTCAATATGTATATATACAAAATATATATTCCATTTTTCTATTATTTAAATTTCAGTATAAAATCTAATCATCTGTCCTAAAAATTACATCACAGCTATTCATTTTTAAAATTTGGGGGTTTCAAATCATTGTCTTAATTGATCTCCCATATGTTGGGTAAGTGTCTTATTAGTGAGGGCCTGTTCTGACTAGTTTATTTCTTTGGAGGGAACCATTTCAAGTGAAACTGTACATTGTGTTGCCTCTAGCTATTGTGTTTTCTTTCCTGTCTCTCCCACTGCCTGATGGGAGTTCTTTTGTCTTTCAGGTACATCCCTACAGCAGCTGCCTTTGGGGGTTTGTGCATTGGTGCCCTGTCAGTGTTAGCAGACTTCCTTGGGGCCATTGGCTCTGGCACTGGGATCCTGCTTGCGGTTACTATTATTTATCAGTATTTTGAAATATTTGTTAAGGAACAGGCTGAAGTTGGAGGGGTGGGTGCTTTGTTTTTCTAAATGTTCATATATTTCTTTGCGTGTGTGAAAGGGAAAATATTTTGACATACTGTCTCTGTCAAATAATGCTGGTTCCCTTTCCTCCCCCCAGTTTGTTGTTTTCAGTGCTAATTGTCCCATTTCTGAAATGGGCGTCGAGCTAAGTCTGTGTGCAGCATTAGTACCAGCTGCCTTAAAACTGAAGTTTACATTATTTGTTGACACTGTCCATCTAGTGTTGCCCATGACGCTGGGAAGCAGTGTATCTATCTGCCTAGCTGTTGATCAGACAGCAAGACAGTGACATGGATTAGCTTTGCACACAACATTCAGAACTCTGAATATTCCCTTGTTTAAAAATAAACGTAGTGCAAATTGCCACTATCCAGTATTTTTGAGCTTCCCTATTGAGTTATGGAACATTTATATCTAATGTATATTTTAGATAATTTTTATACTTTTTTAACTCATCGTATCCATGTTCTCTACCCTCCCTCACCAGCCCCAATCCATCTTTATTTGTCCCATCTCCAAACTGCCACTCAGCCTGGATGGGCAAAAATCAAGCATTGAAGTTATATCTGTCACTGGAAACAATTGCTTCTAATTCCTCTTTTGCTTTTCATTTGTCCTCTTCCAGTGACAGCTATGAGCGCTGTCCAACTGTACTGGCTATGCCTTCTACTTCCAATAGTCACTCAATATGATGCCCCATTAGTACCTTTTCTCCCTTCCCCAAGTCCCTAAAGCAAGATCCTGTTTTCAAGCAGTGTCTGTAATTGAGTGGATAATGAATAATTCAGACTAGGACTCTGTTATATGCATAGCAGGACCCAAATATAAACAGTAGACAATAAACTTTTATTTAATAAAACTGTCGCAGTTGTGTTGGAAAAATAAAGAGATATATTAAATGTTCTCTAAAATTATTTCTGTAGGTTCAGTGTATTTATATGGAACCCATCCAGACATGCTTAAAGAAGTTAAATGCAATCCTACTTCAGTTGTAAATTCTAAAGCGCAGTGACAATTGAACGGTACTCATGGCATATTTGAAAGGGACAAGCAAAGTGTTTCAAAACATACTCTAGTATTTTTTAGAGTACATACTTTATTTTAAAAAATTACCAAATTTAGTTTTTGGTTCAAGTACAGTTTTCAGTCATCAGTTTCCTTAGTAGGAATGGGAGGTAGTACTGACTTAGCTGGGATCAGGAAGTCAGATAACAGAGGCAAGAGATAAGTGGAAGTCAGACACTGGAAACATCCTCGGGGTTCTGTGTTTTAAAAATGAATGCAAAAAGGGCAGCTTCTTAAAAATGTAGGCAAGTAAAGAGTTTGTGAGGAGGGAAGACGCCCAGATGGCTAGCTCTTGTGTCTGAGCTCACCCCCGAAGCAGGTCACACAGATGGCACTAAGGACAAGTCTAGGAGATCGCTGTCACTGCTCAGTTGTACTCCTAGAGGAAAGAGACATAGGCCAGGGAGAATGGGACAAATCTTGTGTTCTGGCCAGTGCCAAAGGTCATTCCCATTGCACCTGGCTCTAGAGTTGCTCTGTGGAAAGGGTGAATGTGTGAGGCCCGTGTCACCATTTCAAAGGATGGAAGCAACACGGGAAATAGAGATCCTGGGAATTTATGGGGAAAAACAGTATCTTTGGAGAAATATCATGCCCATGATTAGAAAATAGGTTTTATTTTTTTATTTTAGGGTTAGAATCACAGGAAAGGCTACTGTAGTATAAAAGAGTGGGTCTTAATTTTCACAGTCATTAGGAAAGCAGACTTGGTCTATAAAGTTCCAGAATTAGTTCCATTCTTAAGAACAGTAAAGATTTTTGTATAAAGAGCTTACATTTTTGTTGATAAAAATACCTGTCGGTGATAACACTTAGCATTGACCCTGACTGTACATGGGAAAACTGCTTTTATAAGGTTCCGAGGAGTCTGCCTTAACCCTGGATCCAGCTACAAACATATTGAGCTGGCCAACAAGCATCACACTGAGAGTGCTGCAAGTGGCTGAGCTGCAGACAACAATTTTGAGCTGTTGAAAGCTATAGTAATCAACACAATAGCTGAGCTCATCAGAACAAGGAAATGAGCCCAGAACACTGGTAGAAGTCTTGGGTGATGAACTTTAGGTATGACGTGCACTCAACCATTGCTGCATTTCCAGGGTAGTTTGTTTTATGTTTCAGATAGTTGGCTAATATATCTGCCTATATCCATGACTTCTGACATCCACACACATGGAATCCATGCCAATCTTTTTACTATGGATTTCGCCTTAGAAAACAATTTTCTGAGGTAAGGACAGGAAATTAAGTATGTGAACAATTGAGGGAAGGGCCCTGAGTTTTCAGTCTCTTAGCTATAATACATTAAGAATTAACTATGTTCACTACTGAAGCATTAGTTTTGGTATACTTTTAAGGAATTAAGTGGCCTTATAAGGATATTAAATATATTTAAAAAATTTTTTGAGCTGAAGTTTCATCATGCAGCCCACACTGGGCACATTTATGATCTTCCTGCCTCAGCTTCCTAAGGAGGTGGATTATGAGCATGTACCACAAGTAGCTAAATATTTACCATAGACATTATTCTCTGCTGATTTTACATCTACTATCCAAATAAATTCCATATAGCAAGTCAATTAGAGCTAGGAGAAGCCCCAATTAAGTCCCTATCAGAGTCTCTCTTTTAAAGCTCTTATTTTGGCCAGGTGTGGTAGTATACACCTATAATCCCAGCACTCGGAGAGGCAGAGGCAGAGGCAGGCATCTCTGGGAGTTCAAAGGCAGCCTGGTCTACAAAAAAACAAGTACCAGGACTACACAGTGAAATCCCATCTCAAAACAAAATCCAACCTTCTTATTTTGAAACATAAACCTATTAAATAGCTATTTGCAGACCTAAGTGCATAATTTTTATTTTAGGATTTGAGGGTGGAAATAGCTGACCTAATTTGAAGCTCAAGTCTATTCCTGAGAAATACCCTCACCTTCTAGACTAGGTGAGGTTTAAAAAAATGTTAACATACCTACCTACATTTATGTTATTTTTCATGAGCATTTAACATGTTTAAATGAAGGTTACATCCTCTCTGTAATTATAATTCCATACCCAATTCAGTCTGTACTTTTATTTTATGAAAAAACTGATTTCCAATCTTCATTAAAGTTAATTGAATACAATGAATAGTGAAGGCCTTATGGTCTCATTTACAAAACATGGCCAGTGTCCTCCTTGGCCTTAAAATTTGAGGAAGGGAACTTCGAATGGCTTCCAGTTCGCATGTTTCAGTGCCAGAGCATAGGCGTAGACCCTGGCATCCACTGTAAGATGTTCTTCTGCTACCAAAGCTAAGGAAGCAAAGATGACAGTTTAGAGACGATGACAGGAGAGTCTACTCAATCACTATTCACACTGTATGCCAGTCTTTCCATACTAGATGCTTGGGACACACTAAAATTAGAGAGAAAAGGATTACAAGTAGTGACTTAGATGCCTCATCAAGCTCAGCACTCAGCCACCTTGCTGGCTTACTGTCTCCTTGCCACTTGTTTGGGAGTAAGTTCAAAGAAGACTTTAAGGTCAGGGTTCACATCTTATTCACTTAAGCAACACGAAAGTTGATTACTATATTTGATTATACTGGTTAGGTAAACTAGTTGTTTCACCCTCCTCTCTTTCTTGCTGAATTATCCCTTTCTGAGACCTGAAGGGAAGTCAGGTGAATGAGAGAAGGAATTCTACAAAGAATATTCTATAAATGAAGATATCTGTCACATATTACTCAAGGACCGGGGGTTCAGTACTTGACCTACATTATCTGCTTAGCTTTTCTCGCATATCCTCATAGGAAGGGGCTTACTTGATTTAGGAAAACAAGAAGCTAGTAACTGATAATGATAATGGCAGCAGAGCCTCAAACCCATCAGTCTGTTCTATCATTAGCTGGACTACTTAATAATGGATGCCATGGCTTTTTCTGAATAAATGATGATGTTTAACTTGGCTTTTGAGGTATTGAGATGATTTTACCTCAGGTCTAGTTTTTGAAGAGTTGAAGAAATTGAAGCTGTTTGGGAATACAAAACCGTAGTTTTTTGGAAAGATAGTCAAATAAGTAACAGACATTTCAAAATAGAGCTCTGTGCTTCTTCCGTGAAGCCGTAAGCCACTGGCATGGGAGGAGCTAGGACTGCTCTTAGAGTTTCAGGGCAATGAGTACTTGTTACTTTGTGTTAATCTTCAAAGTAATTACTTAAAAACAGTAGTCAAAAAAGTTTCCTGGAAGAGAACCCATAAAAAATTGGGATAATGAAAGGCTCTGCTTCTTCACAAATGAGTGAACAGGGCAGAGGAGCACCTCAGAAGGCTTTTGTCACCTCTCCATTAACAGTATCTCTCACAGAAGGTCTTTCAAAATCTAACAGGATTTGTGGGATGGGCTGATCTACTAACTGACTACTGATTTACTAAGGTTCATTTTACATCAGCTTCTCAGTCAAGTATGTGTTGGAGAACTGCTGTAAGAGTCTTTAACTTGACTGTCCACAAACAGTAACTAACATACCAGCATAGCTGAGCTATATATTTAAATCTTGGCACTGGTATGCATCAAAGGTCCCTCCCTCCCTCCCTCCTTCAATTTATCTGTGTGTGAGTGCTCTTTCTGCATGTACACCTGTACACTAGAAGACGTCATCAGATCTCACTACATATGGTTGTGAGCCAACATGTGGTTATTGGAAATTGAACTCAGAACCTCTGGAAGATCAGCCAGTGCTCTTAACCTCTGAGCCATCTCTCCAGCCCTAGATCAAAGACTTTAAGCATTCAATAGTTTTGGTTAGACAGCAGGAAAATCACTATTATGTAGGGAAAAATTTTAAAACGGTCCCTATTAAAGCTTTACCTTGACACAATGTTTTTCTTAAGTTTTCAAACTGTACATCACTTGAAACGGAAAACTAGCATTGGTCAACAGTAGTTTATAACAGTGTCTGACATTTTGAGATGAAGATAAAGGAATTACACTAATGCCCTAGTGGATAGAGATGGGGAACAAAGAGAAGGCTGGGTAATAACCTTAAGGTGCTTACCATCAAGTCTAGTCAGTAGGTCATTCTTTGGTAAAGAGATCACTTCCACAAATTCTAAACAAACAGAATACAGTGAAAACTAAACTGAGTGAAACCATAGCCCCAAATGTCTGTAGTCATCATTACCACTACAGTAAGTCATCACAGGGCCAGCCACTGGGAGTTGAATAGCATACCTCCATCCCCTGCAAATAAAAAGAGGGAATAATATTTATATTTTAGTACAACCTGTTGTGGCAAGCTTTTGAAGACTTCAGTGCAGGTATAAACACTGGAGAAGCATCTAACAGAAACCCAGAACTCTCCAAAATATATCATATTTACTTTTACAGTCAATTTCAATAGTATAACATTGTTATTCTCCAGATCAAACATTTCACAGCAAAATATAAAGCATATCCTGTAATTCATGTTTGCTACATTTATACCTATGGACAAATACACAATATAAAATTTATCATTTTAACCATTTTTTAAATGAAAATTCAGCAAGATCAAGTAAGAGTTGTGCAAACATCACCTCTCCCCCCCCCCCCCAGGGTTTCTCTGTATTGTTTTGGAAGCTGTCCTGGAACTCGCTCTGTAGACCAGGCTGGCCTTGAACTCACAGAGATCTCAAACTGAAAGCTGGAATTCACTGAACAGTAATTATCCATCTCTGGGAATTTCCACTTTTTGTCTCCATGAATGTCTATTCTAGGTATTTCATACCAGTAGAATCACACGTTTGCCCTTTCGAATATAGCTTCTTAGTATAATGCTGTCAAGGTTCATTCATAGTGTAGCATTTATCAAAATTCTACATTTCATCTGCTGATAGAATCCTGAATAGTCTATTCTTCTGGCTACTGTGAGTGATGATACTATTAATTATATTAGAACCTGAGTCTCTTGTTTTCAGTTATTTTAGTTTAGTTTATTCCTTTTGGAAATACTGGGTTCTAGATTTGTTTTGTTTTTGAAGACAGGATTTCTCTGTGTAACAGCCCTAGAACTCTCTTTGTAGATCATGCTGGCCTCAAACTCAGAGATCCACCTACCTTTGCCTCCCCAGTGCCAGGATTACAGGCGTGTGCTACTTTGCCAGACAGAAATTTTAGATAATTTTATATTTAACTTTTTGAGGGGCTCCTGAATGTTTTCCATGTCTTATGAATATTTGCAGTTTAAATAATGAAGCACTGGCTTAATTAATTGGCTTAATTAAAATTGGCTACAAAGAGTCAGTGAATCATATACATAATTTACAAGGATAAGGAATTACCACTCAAACTATGGTGTGTGTGTACTGATAATCTCTCCATCTATCTATCCATCAGCCTACTTTTTTTTTTTTAAAGATTTTATTTATTTTATGTAAACAACTCTCTGCCTCCATGTCTGCCTGCAGGCCAGAAGAGGGCATAAGATCTCATTTCAGATGGTTGTGAGCCACTATGTGGTTGCTGGGAATGAAACTCAGGACCTCCGGAACAGCAGCCAGTGTTCTTAACCTCTGAGCCATCTCTCCAGCCCTCAACCTACTTTCAAAGGGGTGGGAGCAACCGGCAGGAATTGACAGTGCTTGAAGTGCTTTTGAAGCCCAACTTTCTAGGGGATATTTTAGTGCAAAGAATAACCTTACAAACTCTCAATATAAAACTTGGCTGAATAAAGGCTGCAGCCTTTAACTTCTGCCGTTCTTACACATTTAGACAAACACCAAAGTGATTTTGAAGATTCTCACTTCCTAGTCAGGCCTGTAGCTCATTAAATGGGAATCAGTTTTCTACACACATACACACTAAGAAAATAAATAAAATGGAGATTGAACATTTTGTAAAATGTAACACATTACATTTTTTTCATACCTTACATTTTATAAAAACAAAACAAATGTTAAAGAGAATATGCCAAAATACCTATCCAACACTGGGAAGCAGTACCCACAAAGAACCTATGGCAGACTATGATTCTTTCAATGAAAACTATGCTTATTTTAGCAAGTTAAGATACTCAATGCAGCTCAATCAGCTTAAATGTATATAACACACCCTTACCTGGTTTGGGTTTAGGCCTTACGTTTTCTGCATCATCTCCATTGATGGTTACTGTCACAACGTGTGTGGTACAGTTTGACAAGCCTGGATCCATACACACAGCTGGGAAAAGAAGTGACAGCTTGTCTTAAGAAATGAGATAAGTGCCTTAGTCCCTTGCTACTTGTTTCACGAAATGTCATAGAAGAGGTGGGGCTGAGAGTTAATTCAACCAGTATCTAATCTAATCAGTAGAGGCTACCAGACTGTAGAACATTTATATACAGAAAAAGTACTCAAACTTCCTGGGGTTCCTGCATCAGTCTGAGGGTTTAGATGGTTCTGATGGTTCAAACAAATCCAGTGAGGAGTATGGCAAAGATAGGGAAGTAAATAGCAAGGTTTACTATTCTGAAGACAACGAGGCTAAATAATTTTCCAGTGTCAGGTTTTCCAATTTGCTCTCATGCATTAGAGCAGTTCACTCACTCATGGGGAACAACCCCCCTTTTTTACTTGGGAGGGCACTGAAACACTGTTACTGTGTAGCCCACGCTACACAGTCCTGCTGCCTCAGCCCTAGAAGACTAGGATTATGAATGTGTCATTGCAGCTGGCTGGAAACCAATCTAAACCCTGGTTCTTCTCTGTCTGCATTCCAACCATAAAGAACCCCTGCTTCATTAATGGTCAAGAAACCGACCCCTGAAGAGTTATACGAACCTGGAGAACATTCAGCAACATCGCCTTTGTAGCCAGTTTCTTCCTCCAGCTCCCGAAGTGCAGCTGCTTCTGGGCTTTCCCCATCATCGATGAGCCCTGGAGGACAGATGGAAGCCAGTGTTCTCTGAACATCTTTTTAATAGTTGCTAAGTGACTCTTGCATACTAAGTAGCTTACAGTCGGTGTTACTCATGCCTCTTGCTTACATCTAGGTGTTTTTCATGAACATCTCAACCATGTTCTGTACAAGAGGGATAACCCTGTGAGGAAAGATGGTGGCCAAATGGCCTAGATTTCATAGTTATGTAACTATCATACAGGAGGCTGATTCTTTCTGTTTCCTTTTTTGTATGGTGACAGTTTACTTCTCTTGCTTTCCTTCCTCACAGAAAAATAATGAGGCCCCAGCAATGAAGTGCCAGGAGAGAGTGCCCTGAAGGTTACAGAGTAGATCATTACTATGGTCACTATGAGGAACAGATAGGCCACACAGGGGTAAAGTTAACAACTCAGGTTCATTTTCCTGAATGGAATGCAGCTGTGTAAAGAACAAATAAAAAGTAGGTTATTAAATTATTAAATCACTTTCAGTGCTATTAACTTCTTTGTTTGTTTGATTTTTGGCTTTCGAGACAAGGTTTTTCTATATAACAGCCCTGGCTATCCTGGAACTTGCTTTGTAGTCCAGGCTGATCTTGCACTTACAAAGAGCCTTCTGCCTCTGCCTCCCAAGTGCTGGGATTAAAGATGTTCGCCACCACCACCTGGCTAACTTCTTAATAAAATGGCAAGTGAGAAAGAAAAGAGCTAACTATATATTTCTGTGAACTGGGCTTTCCCACTTCAGTCCTGGGAATGGCACACAGAGCTTTGTGCATGCTGGGTAAACACTGTACCTAAACCCTACCGAGCTTCATGAACCTAACTGTAAAGTATAGCACTTTTGATAAATACATGGGGTTTATTTATTCCTTCATATGAGCACAGCCCAATAAATTATAATTGTTATAATACTGCATATCAAATTCTGGGTGGCTTAATTACAGCAAAACTGAAAAATACCTCTGATAAAATCAAGACAGTTTTCTTGCTCTTTTTTTTTTTATGACAGATCAAGGTGTCTTCTAGTTATAACTTTTTGCCATTTAGAGTGAACTGCTTACCACTGTAAAATTCTTGTGAGTGAAAGGCACTGCTAGTGACAGAAGGGGAAATAAGTTGATGAATGAATGAAGCAGCTACTGGGAGACTGAGGTCATCAAGCTATGTGGAAAGGGGGTGTGGTCACTGAGCTTCACATCATGTTCCTGGGCTTGCCTGATCCCAAACGTGGTCAGGACTTGAAGGAACCTCATTATAGAGACATGGTTCTGGCTTTTTTTTTTTCCTTTTTATATATTTGTTCATGTGCATGTCAAGGACTAATGTTGGTATAAGAATCTTCTTCAATTACTCTTCTGCTCAAGATCAGACAGACCTACACCTCACTGATATGGTTAGTCTCACTATCCAGCTTGTTCCAGGGATCCCCTTAGCCCAACTTCCAAGGGCTGGGGTTCTGGGTAAGTCTCTATACCTACTTAGTTTTGACATCTTGTTTGCATTGCAAGTGCTTTAATGGCTGGGCTGTTTCCCTAGCCTTAGAATGTTTATTGTTTACTTATAGCTACTTGGACAGATGATGTAAACAATGCATGCTTAGTCTCAGACAAAGGACCTGCATGGAGTTACTCACCTGCTGGAAACTCCAGGCAGTAGCCACCCATTGGGGGTCGGAACTGCTTCACCAGAACAATACATTCATAATGAAGAGTTCTTTGCAGCACTGGGATGATTGATACAACTGTCAAACAGAAACAAAACTAAGGAATCCTTAAGAAAGATCAGCCATGCAGGGCGTTGGTGGCGCATGCCTTTAATCCCAGCACTTGGGAGGCAGAGGCAGGCGGATCTCTGTGAGTTCGGGGCCAGCCTGCTACTGTGTTGGCAGCCAACTTTGAAACTATTCTCATTTAACAATGTAAAAAGCCAGGCAGTGGTGGTGAACACCCTTAGTCCCAGCAGAGATCTACAGAGAAACCCTGTCTCAAAAAACCAAGGGGGGGGGGAGTAACACATCTGTCACTTTTCTTAGTTTTGATTTTTCAAGACAGGGTTTTTCTGTGTCTGTGAAGCTTTGTAGACTAGGCTGACCTCAAACTCACAGAGATCTACCTGCCTCTGTCTCCTAAATGCTGGGATCATCTGTCACTTTTTTTTTTTTTTTTACAAGAAAGTGTTTTTCTTTTTTTTTAATTTAAATTAGAGACAAGCTTGCTTCACATGTCAATTCGAGTTCCCTCTCTCTCCCCTCCTCCCCTGTCCCCATCCACCAAGTCCCCCAGCCCCCCTCCCAATCCCCACCTGTCACATTTTTTATTTTTTATTTTTTTACAAGACAGGGTTTCTGTGTTGTTTTGGAGGCTATCGGTCCAGCCCGGCCTCGAACTCACAGAGATCTGCCTGCCTCTGCCTCCTGAGTGCTGGGATTAAAGGCATGCGCTACCACCGCCCGGCCCCGCCTGTCACATTTAAAAAATACTCTTTTAATTATAAAAGGCTTGTTTTCAGTTGTCACAAGATCCTTTTTCTACTTTAGATGGAGTCTGCTTGTGTTGTTTCTACTACCCAGGCTAACTCAAACTCATGATTTTCCTGCTCTAGCCTCCCAAGTGTATAGGACTACAGGTGTGCACAACCAGGCCCAGCCACAATTTCTTAAAAAAATGAAGTCAAAATTGAAACTAAACATGCCACACCGGGCCAAGGATGGGAGCCCCTGTTCCCCATGCAGCAGCCAATAGAGTGGCCCCGGGTGAAGACTGGTCTGCATGCTGCTAGATTTCCCTTAAGCTAGAGGCCAGTTAAGGTCCACCGTGTCTTCTATGTCAACAGACTGACTTCTACTGTTTTAGAATATAAGCTCTTCTCTTACAAGTATTTGACCTGAAAGCAAAACCAGAAAGCCACTGGCTGTGGAGACAGCCACCACCGAGGATTGTTACTATCTCCCAGAAGTTTTGACAGTGAAGAGCAGCTGTAGCACGGCAACTGTTTACCCCCATAAAAACAAGCCAATCAAGATAGAAAAACAAAAAGCTCAGCTTTTGCAGACCATGTGTGGCTACCAGGATGTTTTTGACTCGGTTGGGGCCAAGCCATTTATGCTTGGAAGGGTAAATGAACTGAAGTCTTTCCCAATTTTCTTTCCTCTCAACTGTGGCATGAGGGCAGGGAGATCATTTCACCACACCCAAAGGCACTCACCTTCAGAGTACAAAGGACTCCAGTGGTCTTATCATAGGAAGACCCAGCATGTAGCTTCAAATTATACTGACATATGCTTGGCTATAAAGGTTAACACGTCTTTCCTTCAAACACTGTTCTTAGCTTAGAAAACAGGAGCCAGGAGTTACTTACTTATACAGAAGGTTTTGGAACATAGCATTGTGAAAACAGGAGACTCACACAGAAAAGATCCTAATTGAGGGTAATTCTGCTTTGAGGTCTTTGGTTATATTAAACACCATCTTATAATTTCATGTGCTAACTTTCTACATAGAGAGTTATAGTAGTCATACCGTCAGCAGATTGTCCCTTCCTGGTTGTAAGTTTCACTGTTTCCCAAGTTCTATTCAGGCAGAGAACAAAGAAAAAAATCATTAGTGCCAAAGGGAAGAATGGCCTTAGGTTTTCTGTAGACTATCAGAACTTCAAAAATGAAATGCATGCAAATATGCTAATAAAGTGATCTAGGACCACAGTAAAGATCTGTACTTAAACAGCCAACTGTGCTTCCTTATAGTCCATGTGAATAGAAAGAAACTGTTGTCACCCTCCACCTGGGCCTCTGGCTGCCAACTCAGCAGAAAGCAGCTGAGCACTGGAGTCCCTGAGTCCCCAGAATACTTTGGTTTGATTTCCAAGTCTACAGTGAGTAGCATAAGCTGGTAGTGCAGATGTTCAGGCCTTTCCGCAGTGATGTAGTCAGCCCCTAGGGACATTCCAGATGCATTTCCAAGAACAAAGGATGCCATGCACAACATGAACCACTGAAATTATGCAGGTTTAAATTATGTGACTAAACTATGCAATTCAAGAAAGCAGAATTTCCCACTTCTCTGAGGAATCAGATTTTCTTTGCATGAGTGCGGCCTTAAATAAGAGAAAAAGACAAGTCCCTAGAGGAAGCGGTGAAGTGTTTGACATCATATTCTTGCCCCTTTTATGGCTTCACTTCATGTTAGTGATTTGTTTGTTCTTGGGTTTTGGTAATATTTCTGCTATTCTACCTGCTCTTAGACTAACATCAGGAAGAGTTACATGGGAAATTCAGTTACGGGGGAAAAATCACACTGTTCAAAAGAGGGAGGAAATAACAGGAAATTTCACCTCTTTTAGTTCTCATCTCTTGGGGGGGAAAAGCAGTGTTAAAATAACGATGGAGGGCCGGGCATTGGTGGAGCACACCTTTAATACCAGCACTCGGGAGTCAGAGGCAGGTGGATCTCTGTGAGTTTGAGACCAGCCTGGTCTACAAGAGCAAGTTCCAGGACAGCCTCCATAGCCACAGAGAAACCCTGTCTCGATAAAACAAACAAACAAAAAAACAAAAACAAACAAACAAACAAACAAAAAAATGATGGAGGTGGTCAGGCAAACTTTAGGCTGTGTTTTAAAGGTGGGACTATAATCTAGATGTCTCTAGGGACTAGGTTAAGTACAGTAAATTATAAGACATCCTACTTACTCTAAGGGACCCTCTTGCTCATACCTCCTCTCACCCTGTGGTTGTCCTTGAGATCAGACAATACCATATTCTTACAAAAAGTTCCAGGTATTTAATCTGGCTTAAAACAAGAATAGACAAAAACCCTTTCTGTAAACTGAATACCTTTCAGCACTACATCCAAGTTTTACAAAGCAAACATGTGAAAATAAAAATCAAACTGCTGTGACAACTCATAGTAGCCCAACACTCCTGTTAGTAGCAAGAAAGCCAACCAACAAGCAATTTCCAATAAGTAATACAGATTACAAGAGACAAAACACCTTTTGTCATAGTTCTCTGCTGCCTCTTAAGGTTAGTCCTAAAGACTGAAGACAGTGCTGGGAAAAGCACTGAAGGTCCCATCCCAAATCCACTAGGAATAAGGAAAACAGAGAGAGTAGCATCATTACAGTGGTTAAGGCGAAGTAAACAAGCAGTAATGAGCCATACATTATGAGCAATAGAATAAAAACACATTTCAAACACTACAACAAGAATGCCCAGACAGCTCACTCTCCTAGAACTCACAGATGTGTACTCTCAGGGGATAAAAGCTTACCCAGCTAAACCCAAAGCCCCGACAGCTTCCTCCTTTGTGTAATTCAGGAATAAGTAAAGCATCTGGAAACATCTCTTCAGCTTTAGAATTGGGCTTCCACTTAAATTACTCCACTGTTTGGTCTCTCCTTGGTCTTTCCCTCTAGCCACTGGTACAGGAGGAGGGAGGAGGTAGCAAAGAACAATTCAGCCGCCATCTTGAATGCCAATGTAAGTGCTGAACACTTCTAGAATTAATATCCCTTCTTCCATGAATGAGTTGGTAGTAAAAACACTCTCTATTTTTATCCTTTTATACATATGCTTTTCTTTGAGGTAACAGAATGAATTTTTATGAATAAAACATGGTCTTGTTTCAAAGCTTGACATTATGGTAAGAGCTATTAATGCTGTACATAACCCTTCATCAATGACCAGGAGGAAGAGTTATGTATGGAAGAGGAGAAGCGAATATGCTCTACACAGGTAGCAAAAACATGGTAGGTAGACTTAAAAACTCACTCCCAAATTAAAAACTAGAAATTTAAATCCTGGGGAAAATATCCCCAAATGGCTGTGCTGGGCAGTTTTATGTCAACTTGATACAAGCTACGAGTCGCCAGAGAGGAGGGAGCCTCATTTGAGAAAATGTACAGGCCATAGGGCATTTTCTTAGTGACTGATGCAGGAAGGTCCAGCCCATTATGAGTGGTACCATAAGAATACAGGTAAACTAGCGACGAGGAGCAAGCCAGTAAGAGTAAGCAGCACTCCTCCAGGACTCAGTATCAGCTCTGCCTCCAGGTTCCTGTTCTGACTGCCTTCCATGATCACCAGGGATATGGAAACATAATTAAACTGTTTCCTCCCAAAGTTGCTTTTTGTCATGTTTCATTGCAGTAAAGGCTGCCCTACCTAGGACAATGACTTAGACATATTTTCTTGATCAGTAAATATCTGAAGGTTAGTCAGGTGAAGAGACAAGATGGTGTGAACTGTCATATATTCTTTAGATTTCTTAGTGTTAAAGGTTGCATTTTGTGCTATAAACTTCATTTTCAGAGAAACAGAGCCAAACTGTCACTATACTGAGTTTTAGTATCTACATATTTCATAGTATAAATCCATTGCACATACTGTACTCCCCTGTAGCTTAGGTCTTACCACATGGTTCGTCCTGGGTTTGCACCCATCCTCTGTTTACTCCATATTTAGCTCTATTTGTCTGCTGTCTGTTAGTATATCTCTATTACTAAGGTTTGTGCTAGTTCAGCAGAAACAATTAACATTTGTTTCAATCGTCAACAAATCTATGTATTGTCATCTTGAGAAATGCATTTGCTCACACAAAAAACATGATCTACCATGATTGTGTAGCAAATGGAATTTATTCTATTTTATTCCTTATTATATTTCCTTTAGAAAATAGTAAACCTAATCACCACATTGTTTTATTCCAACTGATTTGTTTGTTGGTTATTTATGTGGATGGGATCAAACCCAGGGCTTTACACATGCTGGGCAAGTGCCATACCACTAAGCAGTATCCACAGCTTCTTTTTTTTTTTTTGGTTTTTCGAGACAGGGTTTCTCTGTTCTGGAACTCACTTTGTAGACCATGCTGGCCTCGAACTCACAGAGATCCGCCTGCCTCTGCCTCCCGAGTGCTGGGATTAAAGGCGTGCGCCACCAATGCCCGGCTACCACAGCTTCTTTTAAGCAGAAGAGCCAGCAATGGTTTTCTCTTCTTTTTAGTTATTCTAACTCAGACATTAAACATTTGGAAGGAAGCATTAGACACTGATGAGTATTCCATAGTTTGTTAAGCCAGAATCCAACTTTTAGGTCCACAATTCTATGGAGAATGGAATTAATATGGATTCTAGATTAGGTAAAGGAACAACTGTAATTCAGTTTTATTCAGAGATTATTAATGACCCAAATATTTAGCAATGGAGTAAGAGCTGGATTCCACTCTGTTTAAAAGAGAGCTTACAATGATGAAACAACAGTGTTCACCCAGACACTCAACAGAGCCCTGGAAAAACCAAAGGCAGAAAGAAAAGAAAAAAGTTTACCTAGTTTTACCAGTAGGATCCATGTAAGTTGTTTTTTCAAATTTGATCCATTTTCCTTCTGAAATCAACTAAAACAAAATCAAACAGTTATAAAGTAGGAAAATTTCAAACCAAGTTGTCTTTTTTTTTTTTTTAGAAAAATTAAAACATGTATTCTTTCAAGTCCCCTCCCCCCAACTCAATTTGCTTCCCTCCCAATAATTTGTGGGCAAGTTTCTAGCTTGGAATAATTACTCAAAGTTGTTTCCCTAAGTGTGGGCCTTTTTTTTTTTTTTTTAAGATTTTTAAGTAGAACTAAGACGATAGGCACTTTAAATAACACATGGGCTGGGGAGAAAAAGGTAACAGAAGGCAGTTTAGTGGGAGAGAGACCTTCTGGGTGTTTCTCAAGTCTTAACCCCAGCCAGGTATGTGTGCAAAGCTGGCCGCACTGGTGTGGAGTTGTATATAAAATTTGACTAGGGAAACAAATCAAAGACTAGATTTTCTTTCCGACACCCAAGTTCCCACTCAATCTAAGACAGGCATCAGCAGCTGCTCTGCCCACACACCAAGGCGTCTGGGAGCATAACTCACCAATGGCACTAGGCAGAGCTGCGGAGACTTTTCACTATGGACTTAAAGCAACAGCCCTTTCTTACGAGGCCTCCCCCATCCCTTCTTGCCAACACCAGACCTAATCATTATCAGATCTGTTCACAGACAACATGAAAAGATTCTAAATCAAAAAGAATTTCAGAGAAGTGTTAGGACCAGAGTTTCAGGATGAATATTAAATTTATTTTTAACTTCTCGAGGTAGGGTTTCTGTAGCTTTGGAGCCTGTTCTGGGACTAGCTCTTGTAGACCAGGCTGGTCTTGAACTCACAAAGATCCTCCTGCCTCTGCCTCCCAAGTGCTGGGATTAAAGGCCTGTGCCACCACTGTCCGGCTGAATATTTAAAATTTATCCACTACAACAACTGGTTCCCGAGAGAAAAACACCCTAAAAGCTTTATTCACTAATTTTAGTTCTTTATTCAATAACATGAGTTCTAGAACTCAGTGGAATTTGAACCTATGATGAACAATTTAAGTTTTTATTATTTTAAACATTTATGCCAGAATGACAAACAGCTAAAATGCATTTACTAAATATGAAATCTAAAAGCCACATATGGTGTGCAAAACCATAAATTACTTGTTTTTCTATCTATGGCAATTTTTAGAAAGAATTTCCCTATCAGGAGCAGAAATCTACTTATTCTCAATTTCATTAATACATATAATTAAGTCGGATAAGCCACTATACTAAGGAATAACAAAATGTGGCTTAGCCTTGAAATGGAGAGAAAAACATTTGAAAACTATCTTCGGGCTGGAGAGATGGCTCAGCGGTTAAGAGCACTGACTGTTCTTCCTTCCAGAGGTCCTGAGTTCAATTCCCGGCAACCACATGGTGGCTCACAACCACCTTGAATGAGATATGGTGCCCTCCACTGGCATGCAGGCAGAAGACTGTATACACAATACATAAATAAAATATTAAAAAAAAACAAACAAAAAACTATCTTCAAGAATGAAAACCCCATGGCAGTTAAAAAAGAGAAAAAGAAAAGAAAAAGCCTGTAGACTCATTTTAACCTTAGTGCTATGTGGGGAAGGGGAAGGATACGGAAAAGCCAACTCTACCTCCTCTGAAATAATGTGCTGTTTGGTGTTCTGAGAAGAATCTGTTGATTCTTGGTTCTCCATTTCAACCTAGTTGGTCTCCACAGTCCTCCGATGGAACGTTTACTGTAAGGGAGTGAGATTTGTTCAGGTTCCCTCAAACATGGGTCACTAGTCAAAGTACTCGAATAGTTAAAAAATGTTAAAGCATCTTCTCTCATGTGACTTTCTGGGAGAATGGCCTCAGAAAGCACACAGAGGTGACATCCCAGAAGAATTCAAAGCCATCCTATTTAGATTCAGTTTGCATTTACCAGGGTCCATTCCCACTAAGGTTTTCTCACTTGACATTTCACTCTTTCCGGAGAAAAAACCACCAAAGGATGACACACCACTTTCCAAACCCACCCACTTGTCTTTATGGTCAATTATCAATGCTTTACAGTTTTGTAGGAGGAAAACAGAACTCCGCCATTAGCCATGTGACTTATTAGATGAGCATACAGATGAGGTAATAAAAAATCGGTTTGCCACACCGCTAACCACACCCACTTTAGGCATGACTAAAGACGTATACGGACATAGGCGGTGAACTACATCACTAGCCAGGCCCACTTTTGGGCATGGCTAGGGGCACTACGAAGGAAGGTATAAAAGACTGAACAACGGAAGTCTCAGTCTCTTTTCCGGCTTTCCGGCTTCCAGTTCAGTGGTGGAAAACTACTCGGCTCATCTGGGTTACTTGTTTGTTTCTTGTGAGTAATTTCTACAATAAATACTTAATTTTACTTTCAGTAAGTGTGCCGTTTATTGTTGCAGCGTCACAGTTTAGTTGTTTTTCTGAGGTCTTGCAATGCATCCCAGGCTACCTTGAACTCCTGCTCCCTTTCCTCAGTGTCCTCAGTGAGGGAAGCACCATCACACCAGACTCAAACTTATAGAGCTGTCTATAATGGCACTTCTATCTCCCAACTTCTCTTTCTTTATGACAGTCTGGGGCAAGCCCAGTTACCATTTCAGTAGTTTCAGGCATTATGTCTGTTTTCTGTGTGTTTGGGTTGCACCCAGGGCCTCCTTTATGATAGGCAAGTGGTCTACTTTAGTTGGTTTTTTAAATTTTTTTATTCTTTAGGGGCCTACCACCCAGCTTTCAAATAAATACAAGGAGACTTATTTTTACTTATGAGCGCCTGGCCTTAGCTTGGCTTGTTTCTAGCCAGCTTTTCTTAAATTATCCTGCCTACCTTTTGCCTCTAGGCTTTCTCTATTTCTGTATATCTTTTATTTCCTTCTTATTCCGTGTAGACTGTGTCTCTGGCATCCTACTCACTCCTCCCTCTTCTCCTTCTTTCCTTCTATTTATTCTCTTTGCCTGGCAGCCATGCCTATCCTCCTGCCTAGCTACTGGCTGTTCACCTCTTTATTAGACCAATCAGGTGTTTTGGGTAGGCAAAGTAACACAGCTTCACAGAATTAAATGAGTACATCATAAAAGAATGTAACATATCCTTGCATCATTAAAACAAATATTTCACAGCATGAAAGAGTGTAACACATCTTTAACCAATATTCCACAACAGTAGTTTCAGGCACTAAACTACTATCATTTTATTATGTATGTGTGTGTATGTGTGAATTTATGTGTACCATGTGTATGGATGTGCCTGTGGAGGACAGTGGATATGCATCATATCCTCTGGAACTAGAACTGCAAGTCATTGTAATCTGCAGCTGGTTTGAGTCCTCTGGAAGAGGACTTAACTGCTGAACCATTTCTCCAGGAACACTCCTAGCTTCATTTCTTTATTTTTGTATTGTTGTGTGAGTGTGCGTGTACATGTGTGCCATGGCGCGCTTTTGGAGGTCAGAGGACAACTTTTAGGAGTAAGTTCTCTTCTTCCACTTTGGTTTCTGGGAATCAAACCCAGTTTGTCAGGCCTGTGTGGGAAAACTTTTACTCACCAGGCCATCTCACTAGCCTGAATGACGAGTCCTTGCTTTCTTTGTTACACCCAACAAACACACAATCTGTCTCCCTCTCCCCCAACACACCTTGTTTTTCTAGACACAGGGTTTTTCCATGTAGCCCTGGATGTCCAGGAACTCTCTATGTAGACCAAGATGTCCTCAAACTCAGAGAGCTGCCTGCCTCTGCCTTCTGAGTGCTGGAATTAAAGGTGTGCACCACCACTGACTGGCTGGTTTTTGCTGTTTGCTTTTTTTTTTTTTTTTTAAAGACAGGGACTTCATGTGGCACAGGCTGGCTTTGAACTTGATCAGTAGCTGAGAATGACCCTAAACTCCTGGTAACCCTGGACCCACCTCTCATAAGCTGGAATGAGAGGCATGCACCAGATGCACGTGGTGAGAAGCATCGATCTAAGGCTTTGATTGTCAGGCAGGTGTTTCACCAACTGAGCCCCAGCTCTTCCACCTCGTTTTTTTCTCTAACAGTCTCACATGGCCCAGGCTGGTCTTGAATTTACGATCCCTCTATATCCATTTCCCAAGTGCTGAAATTACAGGTGTGCACTTCTGAGAATTTGAGGCTTACAGTTGAGAATGTACAAATTGTACAAGTACGTTATTAAGCTTGTGTGTTATTAGGTATGCATATTAAGCATGCACACTATTGTGTCCCATTTATCTCTAAGTGTATCAAAGTCACAGCTGTAGTCAGTTAGTGCTGACAGTCTGCTATGAAGAGCACAGACTTTTGCCTGCCCGTGGCACACTATCTCTTGGTTTCTTGCTTCATTTCTGGACCTCGCCTTTCTGGACCCTCATGGCTGATTAGTCATCCAGAGTCATTTCTTAGCTGTCTCACTTTCGATGTTGTCTCTGAGAGAGAAGTCTAAAGTGACCTCAAACTCCTATCTCATTTTCCATGTGATCGCTTTTTATTGTTTGGGAGTTTACAATTAGTCACACTCTAGGCTGATACTGTATTGGGCACTCAAGTTAATCTCTTCAATCTGGAAGTTCACAGTGTGTTCATGCATACGTGTGTTTTAAAGGGATTTTTATTGGATTTCCTGTTCTTTCAAGAACTGTTATGTAGCTGTTGGACTGGGATGTAGCTGAAATCCTAGAACACAAAGCCCCGAGTTCAGTCCCGAGTACTTCCCATCCCCAGCAAAATAGTTTTGGATTTTCTGAATTACTCCAAGGCTTTCTTTTTCACTTATACTCTTTTCTTTGCTATCTATATTTCCAAAAGACCAGTCTAGCCTTCTGAAGTCCTCTAAACTATCCCACCTCCTCACACTTGTTTCTAGGGGTTAGAGCATAGGTTTGATTCTAGGACTTCCCCTTGAATACCAAAATTTTTGTGGTCACTTAAATGGGGTAATTTGCATTTAACCTATACACATCCTCTTGTACATTTCAAATAATCTCTAGAAACACATTGCTTAATACAATGTATGTTCTGCATAAATAATTGTTATATAGTATTGCTTAGGGAATAATAACTAAAAGTCCTTAAAGTTCAACATAGACACATTTCCCACTTCACCCCCCTCCAATACTTTCAACCTGGCTGAAATTATGGATGCTGAATTCAAAGTGCCAATTGTATAGATCATTCAGCATCACTTTTCTTGTCCATAGTCTACAAAGATAAAAGTAGCAGTTCCCTTATTTAAAATACAATCAACAACAAAACAAAAACACATTCATACTTCATCGTGCATTAAAAAAATCCAGTATCTGATGACTATCTTATGTTAGCATCACCTGTGGTAGACCCATTAAGGATAGGACCCAACACACAGTGGGCAGAGGAGAGAACGGATCTACTTTCATGGACCTCTCTTAGTGGCGGAGCAGGGAGGAAAGGCAAAGTTCAACATGAGAAATCTGTCAAGTGATCCCTAGTTTTATGGAGAAAGATTATGATGGATAAACAGAGTGAGGAATATGTTCGACTGATTAGGAAGGCCTCGTTGGTGACAAATGAACATAGATTTTTTGGGAGTAAATAGGAAGCAAGTCACACAGCCATCACAACTTAGAGGCAATTACTTAGCATATTGACATTTACAGCCTGCCTAGGAGAACGGGGAAGCTAGTTACTCTTTTGACAGTGACTCAGATGGCCATTTACTTGGGTTAGCTTTAAAGTGGTAATGACAGAGATAAAGATTTCTATCACCATAGGTAACCAACATAGAATGTGGACAACTGGCCAAAGGGGGAAACCCAATGAGTCTCAAGCATGCACATTCTACACTCGCATAAAAGAACTGTGGAATTCTTCTGTTTCTTGAGACAGTGTCTCACATGGTTCAGGCTGGCCTTAAATTTGTTATGTAGCAGAAGCTGGACTTGAATCCTGGATCGTCTTGCCTTCACCTCTCAAGTGTTGGGATTAAAGGCTTGTCCATTATATTTAGCTAGAGGTCCTTTTATCTTTTAGATATCCACTCCTCCTCATTAATAACACACAGCAGGCAAGGAAATGTGCTGATGTAATGAAATTTTTGAATTCTATTTCTAAAGAAAAATAACTTTTAGGCAACCATGTAACCCCTCTGAAAGGACAAACTCAACTGTCTAGAATGGCACGACATGGCTATACTAAGTTACTACCTCCTTTAAAAAAATTCTTTAGTTTTCTTTTTTTTTTTTGTATCTGGAACCTGGAGCTTGCATCATCCTAAGTGCTGGGAAAACAGGTATGAGCCACCACACCCAACTAATACTGGGATGTTTACAGGTGGGGCAACCACACACATTTAAGGAAAAGACTACAAAACTTTTAAAAGGTGGCTTAATACTAACAGGCCAAGAAAGCAAGAGAATACTTGAGAAGCAGAATTTTTTATTTTGATTTTACACGGGGTTACAGTTAATAGTGTAGTAACTTTTTTTTTTACTATTTTGACTCTGGCTTTGACACCCAGCTCCCAAATAAACCACACACAGAGGCTCATTCTTAGTTATGAATGCCAGGATTTAGCTTGACTTGTTTCTAGCCTTTCTTTTCTTAAATTAACCCATCTACCTTTTCCCTCTTTTATCTTTCATCTTTTTTTTTGTTTTGTTTGTTTCTTTTTTTTTTGGTTTGTTGAGACAGGGTTTCTCTGTATTGCTTTGGAGGCTCGAACTCGCTCTGTAGACCA